CGACACCCGCCGCTGATTACGGAGGAGGCAGGGAGAGCCGTGGACGCAGGGAGCCCTGCAGGAGGCGCGGGGCTACCCCCACCCCCCCAAACCTCCCGGCACGGCTTCCCAGAGAGAGATGGTGGGGGGTGGGGTGGTGGGTGGTGTGGGGAGAGAGTGGGTGGGGTGGGGGATGGTGGGGGGTGGGTGGGGGGAGGGTGGGGGGTGGGTGGGGGGAGGGTGGGGGGTGGGTGGGGGGAGAGTGGGGGGTCGGTGGGTGGGGGGATGGTGGGTGGGGTGGGGGGATGGTGGGTGGGGTGGGGGGATGGTGGGTGGGGTGGGGGGATGGTGGGTGGTGTGGGGGGAGAGTGGGTGGGGTGGGGGGATGGTGGGAGGTGGGGTGGGGGGATGGTGGGTGGTGTGGGGAGAGAGTGGGTGAGGTGGGGTGGGTGGGGTGGGTGGGGGGGCTGTAGCTGTATCTGTAGAACCTTCATGTCAGCTATCGTGACGATGGTTACCACCAATCCTGGTTAGCCCTAATTCAGAAGCACATGGAGAGGCTAGAGACAGATTGGGTAGATGACAGCTGGGGACAGCACTTTCTCCCATCGGGCTTTATACGCATCACATTTTTCAAATGATTCCTGATGACAACTGGAAAACTAGTCAAACGGGTTTGGCCAAAACTCGGTGATACATAAAATAAAAACCAGCGCTAAATGGCAAGACTTTTTTTGCGATAGCGATTCCATCCCACGCCATGCACTCACGTCACACATACGTCATTGCACGTGGTGTCATCGCGTTAGCCGGACAATAATATCACGACCATCAACCACATGTATGCATGTTGATTTTTTTTCGCACCGTACGTAGCCAACCGCGTTAATCGGAGGTGTGGGGGAAGGACAACAAACTAAACACAACAACGAGCAGTTTAAAAAATGAACGAGTTTTCAATCTAGATTCAAAAGTGCATATCTGCCAGTGGCTTCCTTATATGGGAAGAGCGTTCCAGACGGTCGCAGAAGCGCATCTGAAAGTGCCATGCGGTGACCACCGCCTTTGTTCGATGGCGGAGCCAAAAAGCCGCCGCTGCTGCTACTGCAGCGAGAATGAGCGGAGTTCGCGTGATGATGGTTTATGCTCCTTGACGAGATCAGCAAGGAATTGTGGTTCATTTGTGGCGAGCACTCTGCGTGTGTGCCATGAGTGCTACCTTACAACAATGTTTGTTCGGCAACCGGTAACCAATGCAGCTCGGCTGGCACGGTCGGACCTTGCAGTGCCCGTCACGAGCACGTGTCAGAGAGTGTTGTACAACACTGCAGCTTGCTAATACTTTTGTTTGGAAGATGTCCCGTATGGTAGCGAGTTGCAAGAAGTACTGTGGAGGATTTGTCTGATTTATAAGCCCCAGTTCAAATTACATTTCACACATTTGGAATCGATGTATCACATTTTAATGGCATCAATGTGTACGTGCTAAATACATTTTTTTTTAAATTATTACATTTTAATGAAGGTGTTGTCGGTTTTCGCAACATTTAAATTTACTTATTTATTTAATCAAAACTTTGTTACTGTGTGAAGTCATTAAACACGTTCTGCTCATGGACAATCAACTTTTTTTGCGATTCGTACGTAATTTTGCTTTCAAAACGGAAAGCAATAATTGTTGAATTTAATTAATCAGTGCAGTCAGGAACAGACCAGAGCGTTGTCTGTAAATTAACACTGCCATCGTGTTGGGCTGTGTGTGTGCACTCAACTTGCATGTGCAACACAGTGATTATACATACATCATTAATGGTCAAAGGTCTTTATAAATATTAAACGCAATGGAACATTGTGCCAAAAAACACATTGCCTGGGGTCGGGTTTTCTTTAATCACACTATTTCTTTTTTTAAAAGAGCGATTATTTTAAAATTAATGAGCACTTACAGGGCATTCACATCATACAACACTTTCACAAAATTGATGTTTAAAATCTACTGTTATGACGGCTTATGATACCACGCGCGGTTGTAACATATTTCTTCGAAATACATTTCCTGGGCATGCAATGTGGTTCTTCGGACAGAAAAAGTAACTTCACGAGCGTGGAGTCAAGAACATTTTTTTTAAATAATTTCATACAATGTTCTCCTTCAGATTTCCACCTTTTCCACAGACACAAACCCTGACGTTACAGTATTCTCAATCGGTCTACGTCCGTAACACCTTACCTCCCGATATCAAAGTGCGGCAAGCCCATTTTTTTTAAAGAGGGGGTATGAGAGAGCGAGCAGTTGCAGATACATCCCCATTGTTGTACTCTACTATCCCCCCGTGGCAATTCCCGCCACCTTCAACAACAGAGTGGCCAGCGAGGGTTGAAGTGTGGCGAATTCATTTCCACCACTCACCAGCCGCATACAAAAAAACCACGCAAACACACGAGGGCTGATTCAGAGAGATGTATTGCTTCAGCGGGACAGGTTTTGGATAGACAATAACAATGACGAGAGATTTTAAAAAAACACTTCGTATAACTCACTGTGGAAGGGAGAGGTAGTGAGCACAGTGAGGGACCACAGGCGAGTCATCTGAGCCAGTCCAACCCATGGCACCACCTGGGGGTTTGTCCCGTGACCTCCTGCCAGCGGGACGTCCCACACTTCGTGGCCTTGAAGTGCACATGGCCTGGCACAAAGCGTCGTGGCGACGTCACTTCGTGACAATTGGCGGTTGATGTTGCTTAGCACGGTTGGCTACGTACGGTGCGAAAGAAGCTCAACGCACAGACGGACCTGCGGGGGTGATGCCCGTTACTGAACGTGGCAGAGCTCGATTTGAGCCCTTTACATTTTGACGCTTTCATTTAACTCACTCTGTTGTTGTTGTTGTTGTCGTCGTATTCTCAAATCTTGTAACTCAATGTTAACCCACTTCCCAATGTGGTATCGACTGCAAACTTGGCATACTTATGTCATACTGATGACAATATTATATTATATCATACAAAATATCTATTTTTAAACATTCTTTTTCATCTGTTGTTTCGGCTTGGGTCTAATTGTCCACGGTCAACTGACGTTGGCTGTAATTGGAGTTCTCCCATTACTAGTACATTTCATAAAAGCGTGTTTAAATAAAAAGTTTTTTTTTATATTACTTTTTAACGCAGATGCAACCCGCAATAGTTCCAGGAACGGCACGACAGCGCAAGCGACTTGGAATCGCAGAAGAGAACGTACGGTGGGACATCCTCGGGAAGGGCAGGTTGTGACCGGCTCGTGCGACTGATGGGAGGACAGCTTAAAGGGTGGACATTGGAGTCTCACTCAGAGGGTGTAGGAGACACAGATCGAGATTATGGAACACTCGACCACGATGGCGGATCTCGGAGGTCGAGGTGTAGGCCGTGCAACAGGTGACATCTGACAGAAGGAAGCAATGCCGAGGTGTTGGGGGGAGTTGGTGGTGGCGGCGTGCGATTCGAGCTACGATGACCCCGTGGATTTGCATCTTTTCAAACTCATCGATTTTGACCGCCACCTTTGGTATTTCCACGCTAATGATTCGATGTCTAAACACCCCTCACTGCAGCAGGCAGGCACGCTTTGAAGAGAGGCAGTGGGTAGCGTGCGTGCTCATGCAAGCAGGCGTCACACACACACACAGAGGGATGATGCATCAGTGTGCGTTGTCTCTCATTGCGTCAAGAAAAAATGCGCGAGAACGACATTGATGCGGGAACGCGCGTAGTTTCTCACCGCTTCATCAGATGCCTCTTTAAGTAATGAAGCGTCACTCCGAATAACGATGATTTACCGGCTCGGCGCGTTACTTTAATTCGCGAGCGAGGTTTGTGTGTTAGCGCTCCTCATAAAAAAAAAACCGATGTGACGGTGCAAAGCAAATGGACACCCTTCTGTAGCAATTACCATCCAACGACAACTGGCAAATGCAGCCTCGGACTGCTTGACAATGCACTCAAAATCATGAGTTTGAGTTCATGATGACATTACTGAAAAAAAAGATAACTCACATATTGAAAAAATAAAGTTAAGTATGGACGTTAATTTTCATTCTTATCACTCCGGTTGCTACATTTTCTCCCGTATTTATATTGTATGCATAAATAACGCACATCGATGAGCCAGACGCCATTTCCACTGTGGTGAGATGTTAACTGCCTCGCCTGGTATACAGGTCGTGGGCTCAATCCCAACCCTGACGCCTGCTGCTGTTTAATTGGAGTTTGCGGTGCCTCTCTGTGGTCGCGTGGATTTTTCTCCGGGTCCTCCGGGTTTTCACTCCACATTTAGAATCAACATCACCGCGTTTGCAGAGCATTTGGCCGCTGCAAATTTCCACGCGATAAGCCTCCTCGTTCAGCTGCCATGTATGTACACAGACCGTTTCTGAAAAAGAGCGAAATAGCTCAATGGTGCCTTACCCGGTAAAAACAACAAAAAACTTCAGTGTTTTACGACTCACTTTGCCCATTAAAAAAAAATAACGCAGTAACGATTGCCCCCGTTGCGAGCTCCAAGCCAGCATTTGAATTTGCACAATTCCGAGGACATACACACAGTTGAGACTTTACTATTACATTCAGGGGTCAACTACAATCCGTTAGGGGTCAACACACGAGGAGCACTCCTACGAGTGCCACATCAAAGTGGATTGTTTCTCTCCACCGCGGGCGTATGCCCCATGGTCATTTGAACAAGCTTCTTCCCCACGGGGGTCAATCAATGGAGTACCCGGCTTCGTGGGCAAAGCCAACAGCGGGTGTCACGTGGATATAGCCATGGACGTGTGGCACCTCCATCACTGGCCCGATGGCTTTAAACAGGACATCAGATGACGGATTAAACAAAATTAACAACGGAATTGAGAACACTGGATGAGATTAGACAATTGGGATGTACACACCGGGATGCCGGTGGAGCCATGAAGCGAAAAAAACATTGCAGAACACCTTTTGAATGGCACAATTTTATTTCCACCTGATACATATATAACAAATCGTGGGCACGCGTATCCTGGGCAGTGGGTCGGCAACCTACGACGGCTCCTCAAGGGCCGCTTCGTGAGGTTATTCATCAAGCGCCGTCGTTTCGTATTCACCGCAAGAGCATTGCGGCTCTTGAAAAAGCGACTTTTTACCGAATTTGTTATTTTGGTTGTCGATTCCCATGCCCTAGGGGTTTAAGAAAGCTGCACGGTGAATGAAGTACACACGGGTTAGCATTCAAAGTGCTGCCGTGGATACAAAAAAACGTATCCAAGGCGCTCTGCAGACCACCATCTGCTCGAGTGCGAAACCACTGCACTTGGTGGGACTTCAGTGCCCTCTGCTGTTCAATTATTACAACTGTTTTTCAACAACCGTTCAAAAGTAAATGTGGTCATTAGATCAGTTTCCATACCAAAACAAATGGACAAGCGCTCCCCTCTCTCTCTCCACCAGCGATGGAAATTCCACATTGCCATGGTAGGAAACACTTTCTCCGTAGGACTACCACAATTAAGCTTGGCTGACTTGAACCCGATTAGGGATTTTAAATGTTCGACCTCCAAACTAAGTTGAGTGCTCCAAAAACCACGGCGAGTGGCAGGGTTATTACAAATGAGCATTTTAAAAATGCAAATGTTAACAGTCAAGATCACAAAGTCACTATGCTCAGCGCCGTTCATTCCACCACACCAATCCATCCTTGTGCCAGAACCTACAACGTATCGGCCTTGGTCTGATCACCACCGGTTTCACCAACTTGTGGTGCCACTCCAATGCCTGTCCTGGGAACCCCCGCACGGCTGTACATATTCTAGAACGTGTTGCTTACGTTACGATGCAATGGAATTGTGACTCAATCCTGTCATTGAATTTCTGGTGTCTCTCACACACGCGGCAGTTCAAAGGGGCCAGAATCTGCTAAGCGTAATGTAATAAGGGCGCTGGGAGCAGAAGAACATGTAGTTGGAGGTACTGAAACTCTTAGGTTTTTGCGGTAAAGTCACGTAGGTAAAAAATGACAATAAAATAATAAATGAAAATAACTCAATTAAATCACGACATTTCGGAGGCAACACAAGTCTCCGTCTTCAGGTGGGACCGTCACAGCCAAATTTACTCTATCAAGTACACAAAAGCTTCAAATCTAGAGGTACTGAAATATGCAATCTGACATCGGTCCCAAATTGAATGAACACAAATTGAGTAAATACTGACGATGGGAAAAAGAAAAAAAACAGCCATACAAAGAAATTGCAATCGTGACCGCAGCAATCCATACTCTTTGGTCGAAACATCGTGATCTATTAATTTTGTATCTACGTGACTTTACCGAAAGAACCAAAGAGTAAAGAAATTGAATTTTATAAAATGATCGCATGTTATACAATGTCGATGGACTGCTGTATGTAAATAGAAGAAAATCTGGAACGTTTTGAAATGGGTGAACAAAAACAGATTAGAAGACTTTAAATGAAAGAGAAAACATGCATGCACACAAATTATATCGCCTCGGGAAAGATCATACAATGTGCCCAGAATATACAAAACAATAACCACAACGTATTTACAAATATATACATGTTCAAGTAGAATTCCAAAATGCTTAATGCACAATCTACATCCTTTCGAGGCTCCTAATAGTGTACAACAATGTTCCAATAATTGGCAATCACAGGTCCAATAAGTCTAGTCCTCCCAGTGAGGCTTCACGGGCGAGTCAACAAATGTACACGCGCACAGTCAGTCTGATCAAAGTGTTATTGTAGTGGTCAAAATGCAAGCTTTCCGATCAATTCTAATAACTTACGTGGACATGAATTGCATTATAGAGCTACGGAGAATTGTGTGGCTTGATTCAAGACCATAGTATTCAGGCTCTTAAAGGAAAATAACTTTTGTATCACACATCTATAAACTAAAAAGCTACGACTAAACCAATTTTATTCTACCAGGCAAGACCCACTGAGCAATGAGGCTCTTTTACAGAAGCGAGCTGGCCACAAATGATAGCTCAACGAAGTGGCTTATCAAGTGGAAATTGATAGCAAACGAACATTCTAAATCTACGTTTCTAAATGTGGAGGAAAAAACCGGAGGACCCGAAGAAAAATCCACGCGACCACAGGAGAACATGCAAACACCAAATATACAGACGTCAGGGACGGGATCGAATCCACGCCCTCCTTCATATCGGGCTTGGGAGCACTAGTGTCTCAATGCTTAGCACAGCAGTGGGTGGCGATCACATCTCTGTTGCTATCCCTGAGATAAATATGTCCCATCAAGTGGTGCTCATGTTAATGAGAGAGGGCCGACAGAGTTGACCCCTGACAAGGATTTGAATTTCTAACCTTTGCGAATGCTCCGACACTGCACCACCTGGTCATAGCATGATATTTATAATTCGAAGATCCATCAATAACTTGCATTTAAGAATTAAGAAATATTGGTCATAATGTGGTAAACAACTCCAGTTGCAAATACAGATGTAACCAACAGCAACAATCTTCGTATAAATGTTCCAGCTAACACCAACATATTCAAGCTAACACATCAACAAGTGTGCTTCCACAAAAGGGGTCAACCATCGAAAAAAAATGTTCAGAGTTCTTGGCCATATAATAGTTTGTTTTGGAATGTTCCTCTTTGCATTCGAGTCCATCGAATATTCCACTTGTTGACAAATGACACACACGATGAGCATTCATATTACCCGACTCATCTTCTTGGTTCTTTCGGTAAAGCCACGTAGAAGGGAAATAATAAAATAATAATAAAACATAATAAAATACAATTCTCACGACGTTTTCGGCCACAACGCAAGCAGCCGTCCTCAGGTGAAGAACAGGTCTGTCGGAAAGGCGTCTGAATGAACACCACCAAGCTTGGCAGCGTATATTTAAGCTGGGTTAGAGGAAGGAAACACCGTGAGAATTGTATTTCATTGTTTAATTTGTCTTATTTTATTATTTCCCTTCTACGTGACTTCACCGAAAGAACCAAGAAGATCAATTGCTCTGGTCACAAATTGTAACCATGACCCACGTTAGCTCTTGACCAGAGCAAAAGCGTTCACATCTAAACAAGCCACAGGGCGGAGCAGCTAAATGCCCCCAAGTAGCCTGGGAAATTCCTTCTCTCCATAGGACTCCCCTCTTGATCTTCACAAAAAAATGCTCGTTCTGTACACCCCGAAAAAGTACGACGGGCTCGGAACATGGGGCTGAACTTCACCAGTACCGTATATACCGATGCCAGCCTCTCCTCATAGTGAGACAAATCGGTTTGAGACCTACACCGCTCACCTTTGTCGCACCCCCGGCCACAGCTACCGACGACACAAAGAATGGGAGATCCTGTTCCGTGCACGCTGCCGTGCCCCTCGCCGCCAACTTGAGCTTGCTCCGTGCCAGCGGGTTTCACCGCGAGGGATCGGTGGAATTAAAAAAGCACGCGATCCGGTTAGCGGTAGCGGTTCCCAACATTTTCGAGTGTGCGCACCCCCATTGCTACCTCCAAACACATTTCGAGGACCGCCACAACCCTGCCAGCTGTTTGAAATGCACATTTCCATGGCGATGGACGTCATTGCTTTTATTTTCCGCGGACCCCCCTGTAGTAGCCCTTCAGACCACCAGGGGGTCCGTGACCCACATGTCGGGTGGGAATGCGAGACGGTGGCGGTCCTCACAAAAAAGCAGCCCTTAAAGAGCCACCGCATGTAGCTACGGAGCCACAGGATGCCAACCCCTGGGCGCCACGGTGGCTATGAGATGTTAACTACCTCGCCTGGTATACAGGAGGTCGTGGGTTCGATCCCGACCCTGACGCCTGCTGCTGTATATTTGGAGTTGCATGTCTCTCCCCGTGGTTGTGTGGATTTTTCTCCAGGTCCTCCGGAATCATCAACATGTATTTATATTAATGTGGCTGCAATACATTTCCAGATGATGATAAACCACTTCTGTTCAGCTATCATTTGTGACAGCAAAGTCGCTTCTGAAAAATAGTTTTATAGCTCAAGTGGAGCCTTCCCTGGTAAAACACAAAAAAATATCAAGCCCAGGACACCAAGGTGGGGGGGGGGGGGTGTGGGGGTGGGGGGGAAAGAGGGAGTTGAGGGTGAACTGCAAGGCGGTGGTGGCGGTGCAACGTCGTCACTGGAGGAAGACGTCCAGCTTCGGCTGGTTTTCCGGCACGGTTTTTTTGTGAGAGCACCGCGCCAGCCCGCCGGGCGGACGGCTCACTTTCTTCTTAATCGCCACCAGCGCCGGGCGGATTTCAGCCACGTTGGTCTGCAGCGGTAGCGAGTCAAGGGGCTGACCGACATCCAGTGGAGCATAGTTTTGGACTTCATGCGTGTCTCTCTCTCTCTCCCCGTGATCGCGTGGATATTTTTTTTATCCGGGTCCTCCGGTTTCTGCCTCCATGTCTAGAAAAGAAGCGCTTAAGATTGTTCGTCTGCTCTGAATTCCCCACGCGATAAGCCACTTTCGTTGAGCTATCCATGTGGCCAAGTCGCTTCTGAAAGAGAGATAGATAGCTCAGTGGGCCTTACCTGGTCAAACAAAAAAAGTTCAGTTTAGTATAGTACTCCTGGGGAACCTCATTTGCCAGTAAAAATATGATAATTGGTTTTTTACCCTTCTATCTGGCAACAAAACTTACACCTTTTTTACAAGGAGTCATGTTTGCATAGACCACAATACCTGCAGTCATAATGCAAACAAAAAACATAACTCTGATTATATATGCACTGTCCTTGAAGTTGATTGGTCCACACCCGAGACAGCTTTCCTTAGAGCCTAGTCTCACATGGGTTGGACCAGATGACGCCAAAAGGCGCACAACTCAAAGACAATGCACCATCACAGAATGAGAGCTCGGGGTAAGCATTTACACCATGGGAACCTTATTTGCCAGTAAAAATATGATAATTGGTGTTTTACCCTTCTATCTGGCAACAAAATCAACTTCAAGGACAGTGCACATTATCAGTTATGTTTTTTGTTTGCATTATGACTGCAGGTATTGTGGTCTATGCAAGCATGACTCCTTGTAAAAAGGTGTCAGTTTTGTTGCCAGATAGAAGGGTAAAAAACCAATTATCATATAATATTCCTGTTTGAAACCTAATTTTTGTGCTGAAATTCGTGTTGGGCGTCATGGGGTGGGATACTGCTGATGTCCACTGGTGGCTCTGCACTCATGGTGTGAATTCCACAAAGTTATGATGGGGACCAGTCTCTCTGTAGGAACACCCATTGATAACTACCCACTAAAAAGGTACTCAATGTTATTGACCTGACGATGGGCTGAGCTAATGCTTGACCAAGATGCGAAATTTAAAATGTTCCAAACATGCAGTACCATGTTACTATATTGTACAGTTTGTGACCATACAGTGGCAGAAAAGAGATACATTAATACATTACATATCCAGACAAATGTGTTCATATACTTGATAATGCCATATTTCTTGATAATGCCATATTTCTTGATAATGCATAAAAAGGATACAGGTTCAATGAACTTTGTTCTTCCTCCCATTCCATCAAAACCTGTCCGCACCTGCACACAGAGAGAGGCACAATTATTAGTATTTCTCTACAATATTATTTTTCATCATTCTCAGGTGAACAATTCATGTAAATACATCTCCAGCTAGTTAGCGAATGGCTCAAGCGAAATACTTCTGCTGTCACTTTAATAGATCCCTCAACTGTGTGATGGTCAGCTGAGCTTGTGAACCAACAGCACGACACAGCTTTGGGTTTATGTTGGCAAAGGTAAAAGCCATTTGGCAAGAAATGCTCATTTTCGATGTGGACATGGTGACAGAAACCTGGTTATGGCAACAAAATAACATGAACATTATTTTTTAAATACTGCTGTACATGGCCAAGGTCGTGCATCAACAATCGGGGGTACGACCAGCGCACAAAATACACACGAGGCTAAGAGAACACATCACATACCAAAAAAAACACATTTTATAATGTAAAGTCTGCGAAGCATAGCCAGCAACTGCAAGCACGCTTGAAATAAAAAAACGAGATCAAACGGTGATTTAAAGTAAGGCAAGGGTGGCGAGGTTTTGCATCCTAAATATTTTTGCTCGGCTATTCCCTGGCCGCTGTTCGTGCATCGTCAACGTCCTGTTCGTACGCACCGAGCCTTTTGTCGAGCAGCCCTTGGGTGTGCCCGCATATGACCTTTTCTTGAACAGCGTTGAGGTCTTCAGAAAGTGCGACATCTTGATTTCATCCTCGCTGTCATTCTCATCCTGCAAATGAAGAGAACAAGATAACGCTCAGTTTCGTCGTCATCGCAGTCATGAATGTCTCTTCTTGGTTCTTTCGGTAAAGTCACGTAGAAGGAAAATAATAAAATAATTCTCACGACGTTTCGGCCACAACGCAAGCAGCCGTCTTCAGGTGGAGAACAGGTCTGTCGAGAAGGCAGAGTCTGAATGGCACCGCCCCAGGCTTGGAGCGACTATTTATGCTGGGATGGAGAGGCGAAGAACGTCTTGACAAAATAATTTACATATCAAGAGGAATTTAGCATATTTATGTGAAATGCAGATATGCGATTAGTACTACTGTCTGTCGGCAAGGCTCTTCCTTGACGGTCTAAATATGAGCGTTTAAGTACGTACGTGAATAAGAGGCTTTTAAGTACGTGCAGGCACTCTCCGCTTTTACGACATAATGTTCCTAGGAACCCACGTCTGAAATGCTGCCTCAACACTGCCACAAGGCATAGCATAGTCACAAAATCTACCTCCCAAGTCTGACTTTAAATAATCTACCGTATTTCAGCATCCAGCCAGTCATCCCTCTAAGTTCGATACAACTACTCTATGTAATCCAAAAGTGTTTGCCCTATGGGAAAAAACTGGCAATTACCATAAAAATGCACCACTGTTCAGAGCTGGAAAAGGATGCAAAGCACCACCCTACTGCTTGTTTAAGAAGCGAGACAATTTCACTTTGTTGACAGGATCAAATTCATGCCAGAACTAACACTCCTCTAGAATTTTTTAAAAAATATTCTGACGTCGCACATCAGCCAAATACTGCCATGTAAATAATTTGGACACCAGCATGCCAATCCCTGAACAATAATTACTTTAAATAATCTTAAAAAGCAATATGAATTCATGAAATGTAAACAAAAGCTGGGTAAATTATCAATAAAACAGTCCTGACATGAAGCAGCATGTAACATTGAAACACAAAGTTCCCGTCAAAGTAAGTGCCCAAGGCAATGCTCAGCAGCTTTGATATCACGTACGAAATTGTAACCAAGCATTTGTCCATGTACTATAAATTATAAAACAGATATTCTGATGCACGCTAAAAATTTAATCTTCAAAAGGAATAAGAATTGGCCATTTGATCAAGTTTGACTTAAACATTATTGTTTGCAATATGGATTAAGGTTGTGCTATAATTTTCCAATTAAAACTTCTCATGTTAAATTTTAAGTTAAATCATTTGTTTTTCTTTCATGTACCCAAAAATACGACGTGAAAAGAAGTGCACAATTTAATCAGAATACATTTGAAATATGAGCACCCTAATAAATCCTATATTTAAAAAAACAAGGTAATATTTTTCGGTGGTATAATCCACAAAATGCTATTTCAGCAGTTGTATGAAAACGATCACAAAACGTTGCTTCAAATTAAATTCCAACTTTTAACTACGCGCATCTCCCAGCTGTGCGGCACGGTGGCTAGAGCACTCGCCTTAGATGCCCACAGGTTCACAATTCAATTGAGGGTTAGCTCAGCCAGACAAGCTCCAGTCTTGTGACATCAACAGCGGTTGTAGCGAGCAGACCGGCTCACCCACGGTATGAATTATGAAATATACACGGACGCGTCAAGATTACCAATGAATAGGAGCACATATCTACGCCAATTCTGGCAGGGACACGCTGTGACTGTGTATGGGGCAGGCAGTCATGCAGTGAATACGTATGCAAAAGAAAACACTACCGAAACACATTCCTGCGGAGGGAGCTGGTAGGAACGTTTGGTTGCTCGGTCAATGGCCAGGGTCAACGGCGGCGTGGTGTATTCCGCAAATATGCCCGACTGTGAGGGCGGGCACAAGCCGGCGTGAGTAGGTTAAACGTTGAGTTGTATAAGGGCACCACGGGGTGACCAGCCCCTCCCCACCCAGCCCCTCCCCTCCCAAACCCCACCAAGCCCCACCCAGCCCCTCCCCACCCAGCCCCACCCCTCCCATTTTTGGATGCACGACGGACGGACACAATAATCCCGTGGGCTGGTGGAACCAGGTGGTTCCTACCAGTATAAACAATCTGCTATTCAAAAGTGGTCAACGTTAAAATGGGGAGGGGATGTTAGCATCTTTGGCAAGCAAACAATTCTTAAACTTTGCAATGCACATTGCACTCACTTTATAGAAACCTCTATGACACGCCCAAACATATCAACATCTCTCCCTTTCACAAATGAGCCACAGGGAAAGTATTCAGCTCAGGTGGATTCTCTGAACCACTGCTCGAAATCCCATATTCCTCTGGCAAGAACGAGATATCGGGTTGCTTTTAAAGGAGTTCCACTCCCTCCCCTCCACCCCACCGAGCCCACCCCCCCAACCCCCTTTGCGCGATCGGCATATTGTACCGGCTCGCGTTGTGGCAATAAAAACATTTTTTTAAAGAACTCACTCACCACGAGCTGAGCACTGATAAGCACTAACCTACAATGGATGAAAGAAAAACAATGACGAGTGCAATTTCATTCTGGATGACTGCAAATCATTGTATTGCCAGCCACGCGTGTCGGTTATGGCGAATATCAAACTATTTCCCTTCAACGTATTCAACTGCAGATAGCGCAGCACAAGAAATGTAAACGTACACCTGAATAAACGAGACAAGCAGATTATTACGACGAATTTGTATTTCACCATCTCTGAATCAAGCGTTGTAAAACAAAGTGACGGAGCCCATTGTGTTATTATTTTTTTAATCCCACTGGTAATCATGAACTCATGAATATGCATTCTCCAGACTATGGGCATCCAGCAGCAGTGCCATAAGCCACAACATAATTTATTTATCATGCTCAATTTATTTAACATGTCTTTTTAACGATGTGATAAAACAAGTCGCTTGTTCAACATAACCGTTCAATTAATTATTCAACGCAATTCGAATTATTCCACAAATGTGTTCGCCATTACCCACAATGCCTTGGAACATAACCAGAACTCCAGTGAATTTTTTTTTCTCGGAGTGCTCTCATGCGATTCACTTATCATTAACCTTTTCAATCACGTTTACTGCCAGCACTTGCAACACATTAATATCAATGTACACTAACTTTTAAGTACAAAAATTCCGCAACTTTCACAATGTTATTTTGGAAATTACTTGAAAGTCATTAAATGCGGTGTGAAACATTCTGTTTTTCCCATATATTTATTTTTAACTTCCCACAATTAAGAGACTGTGCATGCTACAATTTAATGTTAGTCATTCACTCTGCCAGTTTCAATCACCCAACGAATCTATACATAAAATTCACCAGTCTGGCCGTCATGCGCTGAATCTCGCAAACCGCTAAGTCACACAACAACAACAACAAAATCTCTACACGAGAACATTTTAGCTCAATTGTCGCCTTCCCAATCAACAATGCGCGCCCAAAACATTAACAAACCAACGTCCAATACAGACGTAAGGGAGCCGAAATCGTCCAGAAGGGTGACTGGTGTCGTATTGGTAGAGTTGAACTATTGGGAGGCTGTGCTTTCCCATTCAGAGGCAGTCCTCGACTTACGAACGGGTTACGTTCCCGAGACCCGTTCTGAAATGTGTTATGGCTCAACAAAGGGAAATAATTTTTCAACTCATGAATAAGAAGAAATAGTGTACATTTGCATGCAATACTCTACTAAATAAAATAACATAAAGTAACGTGAAAAGAAAACAAATATTTAATATTTTCACTTAACTCAAGTCCTGGTGCTGGCTTGCTTGTCAGGAGGTTCGGTTTGTAAGTACGACCGAACGTTCTCAGGTCGGACGGTAAAAATAATAACAACTTATGGCGGTCCGTTCGTAAGTGCAGATGTCTGTAAGTCGGACGTTAGTATCTTGGGGGCTGCCTGTACTTACGTTTAAACCCATTTCACAAGACGTCATCGTCTCTTATAACAAACCTATGGCTATGCTGCAGTGACGTCACTCTATGGGCCTGAATAATGACGTGATGACATCATCACACTTACTGCCAAATCCTTATGCAATGTACAAGCGGGCAAATGTGCAGACAATACTAGCTGCAAATAATTTGGTACAATGTGGTTTTGGAAATGTACAAAATCTGTAAAATGTAACGTACTATAAATAACTGCGTTGTACTTAAACACACGTGTGTTTGGCTTGTTGTCACAGTGCAAATCATATAATGCATTTACGTAAAACAAATATCTTCAAACTTAAGTCTTCAAGGCTGTCTCGTAAGATGCAGTTAGCCAGCACCTATTAAGGTAATCACACCACACAAGGCGAATATTTTTGACAGCATAATTTCTGACCAAATCTGTGTGTAAGCACAACACATTTAAGTAAGCACTCGTTTGTGGCCGAGTCAACCTAGGGGCAGGCCCAGGAAAGATTAAGATTCCACTTGTCACATATTCATGGTTGGGAATGTAACCAATTACCCAGGATTGTAATGAAGTGCACTAACTACTGCGCCACAGTTCTCCATAATACAAATGCCTGCCCACATATAACAAAGACAAAGATCCCCCATATAGCCTGGAACAGACTGTAGGGGCAAGTGCTGTTAGCGAGCACCTATGAAGGCCGGAACGGTACACGAGGGGGTGGGTGGCCAGCACCACGCCCGACCGCCTTTGTCTCCCTAGTGGCGATGTTTACACACCGCACCAGGTACTCATTTAAGGCTGAGTCGACCTAGGGGAGGCCCAGGACCGGTTCAGATAATCGTCACTGGTGTTAGCCGTGAGCGGGAATCGAACCCGGGTCGCCAGGTTCATAGCGCAGCGCGCTAACCGCTACACACACGCACGCACACACAATCATACGTTCATGCATACATTATAGAAATGATTACTTAATAACGTGGAAATTACTATAAATTATCAACTTAATAATGGCAGTGTTTGTGCGAAATAAACACTGTTGAAGAAAATGTATGAAAATGTTCCGGATTAAAATAATTATTTAATAAGTAAACATCTATGCTGAGACTGTGAATAATTAATCACGTTGTGTTCCGCATAGTACATTCACTGTCACACATAATTTGCTCAATAATTGAAAAATGCTTAAATTATTAATCACAAAACACACATACATTTAAATGATTCAAAATTGCAATAAATCCCACCCAATTTATCAACATCAGTTCACTTATTGCTACCCACATATTTAACCTTTACTATGCCGAGCATATTGCAGTAGTTTAAAACATCCCAATACAACATAACAAATATTTTTCAGCAAATGCATGTGGTCCCAGTTTGAGTCAGCCAGCACCACTGAGGTTATTATAGCCATCCACTTACATGATCATTTTCATCTCGCCTTAGACACATAACTGTACAAATACAAATCCTACATGAACACATTTGAATAAGGCACGCGAGTCTACATGGTTAGTGGTATACAAGCATGAGCCACCGTCATATTAATTTTCACTGCTTTTACAGCCCTTTGCCATGGTGGTGTGATGTTATATTCCCCGCCTGGTATGCAGGAAGTCGGGGGCGTTCAATCCCGACCCTGACGTCTGTATATTTGAAGTTTGCATTTTTGACCCCATGGTCGCTTGGATTTTTTCTCCGGGTCCTCCGGTTTTTCCCACCACATTTAGATTATTTATATTATTTGGCTGCTAGACATTTCCTAATGATAAGCCACTTCGTTGAGCTATCGTTTGTGGCCAGGTCGCTTGTGAAAAATAAGCTAATAGCTCACTGGGATTTTTGCACACAGCGTTGGTGTACGGTGATTTTTTTCTGCAATGTTTTGCTGTCTTTTCTTGGATTTCTGTTTGCACTTAGTCACATATTCACTTTAAGATGTTTTTTTTGTTAATGTTTTAGTTTTTTGTTTGTTGCGGTTGCACACGAATCAAGAGCCGAATGGCTCACATAGCTATACCTAATAAATTAACTTGAACCTGGAAAAATAAAAAAAAGAGTTTTCGTGATTTGCCTACCTTTCCTATACTTTGCACTCCTATCATGTTTTTGCGTTGTTTGTTGCTATAACTTTCTGACCCGCGCCGACATCTGTGAAAACGAGCTTCATAGCTCATCGGATTCCTCCAGCATATATCAATATTCTGATTCTGAACTGCTGGATGAAGGCCTGCCACATGGGGTTTGTTTGACCATACTTCATTATGCAGGTCACTGTGGATTGCCGCTGCTGGGTCATGTCACCGTCCCTCTAAGTCAGCGGCTCTTAACCTTCACCGCAGCCTTGCACCCCCCCCCCCCCCTATGGTTCTCAATTGTTAAAAAATGTAGAATGTTAATCAATACATAAGTTTCATGAACCAAAGTAGTTGTACTTGGGTGCCCGTGCTTCATTTGCGCTTTGAAGAATTACCTCTAAAATAATCTGGCTATGGCTCGCACCGCCAGAAAGGGCATCTCACACCCCCAGAGGGCGCGTGGCACCCCAGGTCAAGAACCACTGCTCAGAGTCAAAATGTGGGAGCCCTGTGACTCTGGCTACAACATCAAGACATGTCGCTTTGGTGTTTGCAGACCCATGGTCAGCCCATTGTGCCCATCGCATGATGGCGAGGAGTTTTAACAACAGAATGGGGGCAACACCTCTCTTGTGGCCAGGAACCAGAAATTGCTGAGAGGCGATCTGAGAGCACTGCCGTAGATCGATACCGTTTCAGTAATTACATGGAGCCTCAAGATCACAAGACCCGTTAATGTGCCTGATTCCGCCAGACCCCCCAGAAACAAAGCCGGCTTGAGGCTGGATTAGTGCATGGACACGTGACCACAATGCACAAAGGACAGGTGCAATAGGTGTGCTGTGTGCAGCAGGCAGCAGTACAGAGAAAAAACAACCTATTGTTCTTTAGCATTCTCCCACCCACCATGACAAACCTGTACTGCTGAAGTAATGATCAAATGTCTCTCTCAACCAGCCATGTGTGAGGAGACCCTTTCATCCAGCAGTGAAATGTTGAACGTGGAATGCGCGCGCGTGTGTGTGTGTGCTCAATGTGAGAACTTGCCTGGTTGTGAGAAGGAGCTAGCCTGCTCAGCTTTGCGGCTCTGTAAATGCGCACACAAAAAAACCACACAAGCACACAGTTTTACAGTTGTGGCGATCATCTGCGTGTGTGTGTGTCGTGTGCAACATATTACGAAGAGTGCGCTGCGTAACGTAGCACTATCGTGAAGTCCACGCTTTGCAGCCAAAGCTGCGACATTTTACGCCGCGTAACAATCCAGTCCAAAGTTGCGGCAGTAGCACTTGCTTACAATAGTGAAGGTTGCAACAAGCTTGGATCCCGGTAGGGGGTTCATTGAGAACGCTTCAACGTTGCCCGATAGACCGGCCAATGGCTGGGAATGTAAAATATCCCCGCATGTAAGCATACTTTCAATGTTGACGGTGCACTGTATGAGCTAATGTACAGTTTTCAATGCAACTTAACACAATACAGTGGCCCATCCACAAATTTACAAAAAAAGGGGGTTCTTTGCTTGTAGAAAGGTAAGAGTGAATTATCACCAACCCCCTAATTGCATTTCCCACAAAAGTGGAATTTTCAACATTTCAGCATTGGTTCATGGTGGGTAACAGATACGAGTTCTCTCTAAGACGTATGGTCACCAGGAGATTACATTATGGTTTCTTCCATGCAGCTCACTGGTTTGAGACGACCATTTAACTCGACCTGAACATCTGGTTTCTCAATCACGGATGGATAAAACGCCGCATTTTAACCCCGGGTCCCTCAACATCAGAGGCAGGCTCAAAGCTCCGACGTAGAAATTACAAGCAATACATTTTTTTTTTTACCCTATAATTTAAAAGGTAAGATTGACGAAAATGCAGGCGAGTAGGAAATTAATCTCTGGGCGCACCACATTTTATACAGGCACGACGAAGGCCCGACCCCCTAAGTGATTTACACCGCAGTTAGCCTCACGTGCCAAGCTTCATTACAGCAAACCATTACTCCTGCAAGCAGCAGCCCCTTCCGTTCAACCATCCGAGGCAAAACGGAGCCATACATTCTCTGCTGTTGCTTTTGTAGCTGGCAAATGGGGCGTAGGCCACAAATTGCCTGCAATACGGACAACATTATCCGAACAACAAGCACTGTTTAAGCGATTTGGCGCAAGGGGCGACATAGATGCTTGTTAAGCCGTAAAACCTAAAATAATCTGCCGTTGCCCTGCTCTAACGAACAAGACGACAGTGTTAGTGGTCCTGAGAGCAGTCATATAAATTCTATATTCTAACGGCAGGGGCCACTCTGTACTTAGAAGAATGACTACTATTGATTTCTTACAAAAGTGGTGCTTATTTTATTAAGCTCGAAGAAATGATTGGCAGCCTGTCGACCGAAACGGGAGTGGAAGCAAGCTGGATATTGACAACGGTGAATGCCTGCAATGTTAGTCTTTAAATAACTTCACATGATTAGCACAAAATAAAATTGTTCCCTTTACCAAGCAATGCACATTACACATTGCATCCATGTGTTTGTGTGAATTGTGGGCAATTTATCACACTTGCATACCAGGAGGGTGGGGGCGATGTTTAAGGAACTGCATTCAAATCCCATGTTTCAACCCTAAATTCGAATTGTCCATTTCTATTCCCACGTAAAAAGTGTGATTCTAACAGAGATAACTGGATGGGTTTCTGTTGCAATTCTATTGTGAATCCAGCTTAGCGAAAATTCCATGCGCTCGCTAACAGCACTTGCCTCAGCAGTCTGTTAAAGGTTCTTTGCCTTAGCGGTTAGATGTATACACACATGTACACTTGCGCAAGTGCGCTCGTGCACACACCTGCTTGCAGGCGCGGATATGTGTACACTGTTGCATGTGCATGTGTGAATGTTGGAGGCAGTATATATGTAGCAGCTAGCTCACTATGCTGCTAACAAGTTCGATTTCCACTTACGGCCAACGTCAGTGACCATTACCAGTCCCGGGCCTCCCCTCCAAGGTCGATCTAGCTTCAAATGAGTACCAGGTTCTGTGTGTAAACATCAGCATTGCGGATACAAAGGTGGCCAGGTGCGGTGCTGGCCACCCACACCCTCGTGTGCCGCGTCGGCCTTCATAGGTGCTGTTCGCGATCAGCCCTTGCCCCAACAGTCTGTGAAGGCTACATGAGGGGGGATCTTTGTCTGTTTTTTGGTCAAGTGTGGCTAATTTCTCTGAAGAAGTATCGAGACACAGCACCTGTCATGAAGAAGCATCTTCCTGCGGAAAGATTCACATCATCTTTTAACATCCACAATGGCAACGCAGCTTAACCTCCTATCATCGGCAATCCATTCTCGTTGACTCATCCACCCTTCTACCTGCCCATCGACTCCATCCAGCCATCTACTCCTACAAACGTACAATCGTCAGTCCATTTCGCCATCTCATCTCATTAAAAAATGTTTTACCAGGTAAGGCCCACCGAGCCATACAGCTCGTCTTCATAAAGGACCTGATCACATATTCCAAAGAACACAGGATGAGATGTTACTATCCTTTGTGCAAGCACATCCAAGAGTTCATGAACAGTGAGCCTGGTGAAATTTGGGGAGCGCATCGTCAGTAGTGACCCTTTGGTTCCTAGGGTGTTTCGGCCTTTCATACTATACACCCTCCCCAAAGGCGGCCAGCGACAGGGTGATCAATCCTACGCTTGCGTCCCATTCCCAATTAGTCATAGGAGTTGCCTTGTTGTTGGTAGCCAACATCCCATGGGACTATGCATGGCAGGGGCGTCCTACTCCCTGAGTCAAGCATTGTTGACTGCATACCTCCTGGCCCTCTCACTTTGGGGCCCAGCTGGGGTCTTTCCTCTTCATCCAGAGCCACTGACTGCTGCCTTCTGCCGCCTCCGATACAGCTTTGATTGCCGAACGCTGGCTCTGGCCCTTAATCCCCAGGTCTCTAAGCAGTCTGGTTGTAGATGTTGCCACAAAACCTCTGCAGCCCACCTCCACTGGTCGGACTTCTGTGTTCCAGCCATGATGCCGTGCTTCGGCAGCTAGATCGGCATAGCGCAGATGTTTTCGCTCATAAGCCTCATCTACTGAGTCCTCCCAGGGTACTGTGAGCTCAATGATGAAGACCTTCTTGAGCGAACGGGACCAGAGCACCACGTCAGGTCTTAGGGTGGTGGTTGCGATCTCCGGAGGAAACACAAGTTGCCGGCCAATGTCAGCTAGCATTTTCCAGTCGCGGGCCAAGCGCAGCTGGTCTCGCTCTATTGGTGTAGAGCCGCTCTTCGGTGGTTTAGCCCCTTCGCGGACAAAGGTCGTCCGTAAGGGGTGTGATGCTGCTGGGGGTGGTAGGGAGTTGGTGGCAGCTCGCTTGTCCTCCAGGGCGGACGCAAGGTTTTTAAGGACTTGGTTGTGACGCCAAGTGTAGCGTCCTTGGGTGAGGCTTGTTTTAAACCCTGTGAGAATGTGCCTGAGGTTGGCTGGCATGGAACAGAGGGCACAGTCCGGATCTTCACCATACCATTGGTGAAGATTAACTGGTGTTGGAAGGATGTCATATGTTGCTCTGATGGAGAAGCTCAACCGCCTCGCTTCCGTGGCCCACAGATCCTTCCAGCTGATCTTCCTCTTCTCCACACTGTCCCATCGAGTCCACTGTCCTTGTTTGGCAAGAGAGACTGCCTTGGCCCACCTTGCAGCCTCCTCCTGATGGCGTACTTCCTGCACAAATGATAGCTCAACAAAGGGGCTAATTACTCTAAACGCGTGATATTGATTTTAAATATGGAGGGAAAAGCCGGAGGACCCGGAGAAAAATCCACAAGACCACGGGGAGAGAACATGTATGTGCACGCAAACACACGAGTGTGTGTATGTATGTGTGTGGGGAGCGGTAGTGTAGCGGTTAGCGCGCTGCGCTATGAACCTGGTGACCCAGGTTCGATTCCCGCTCACGGCCAACACCAGTGACGATTATCTGAACCGGTCCTGGGCCTCCCCTAGGTCGACTCAGCCTGAAATGAGTACCTGGTGCGGTGTGTAAACATCGCCACTAGGGAGACAAAGGCGGTCGGGCGTGGTGCTGGCCACCCACCCCCTCGTGTACCGTTCCGGCCTTCATAGGTGCTCGCCAACAGCACTTGCTCCTACAGTCTGTTAAGGCTGTACGGGGGATCTTTGTGTGCGTGTGGTGGAGGCCGTACTGGTTGGCCAAGCCGTCGGTTTGCTTGCGCTTGGCAGGGCCGCCCGCGGAGGTGCCTGGCTGGGGAGGCGGCTCCGGCGTGTCCGGGCTGTAGAATCCGTCCAGGTCGAGGTGCACGAACTGCCCCCTTTCTGGCCTCCGCAGCTCCAGTGGCGCTGGGCTGCACGTCACATGGTCCAACCCAACCATCAATCAATCAACCAATCGCCTTATCTACTGCATGTATGCAGAACCGACACAGCATCACAGTGGTTCTTCTCTTCCTCTGCTCATGACCGACTAGATTTCGCTCTACAGGGTGGCAGGGGTGGCGCAGTGGTAACACAAGTGGCTCGCACAAAGAAGTGCCTGGGTTCGATTCATGACCTGGATGCCTTTCTGTGTGCACTGTGCATTCTAGATTTGAAGCTTTCGTGACTGCAAGGATTCACACTCTTAGGTTTTTTTTGGTGACTTTACCGAAAAAACCTAAGAGTATGGACTGTGCATATTCACCCCCTGTTCTGCATGGGGTTTGTCTGGGTTCTCCGGTTTCCTATCATAGCTAAAGAACAAACAAAACATCCCAGTCAATGTAAATGGTGCTGGCAAAAAGAAAATCCCAATGTTGAAAAATTACCTGTAAATTACTCAATTAGGATTACACACAGCAACATTGCCCCCTACCTGTTACCCTTAATGGTCATGTACTAATATTGAACATTTACATTTTGGACTAGCTCATCTTCCTTCATCATCCACCAATCTACTCATATATTCGTGCATGCATCATTCCACCCGTCTTCCAACCTATGCATGTGGTGCCATTCATTCAAACGTCACACAATAGCCCATCAGTCCCGTGAACAATTTTGTACCATATTTGAGCGTGAGCTCTGATATTGAAGTCTTCTTTTCCTCTCTGACATGTACTAGCCTGCTCTTCACCAAACAAAAATCACCACGTTGGCTTCTTAAAATAATCCTTCCTCTATCACAAGCCCAAAGGCACATACAAGAGCCTCACTCCCTGTACATCATCTTGGTACGCGGTCACATTAAGACGCTTAAGAAATCGAATTTCCTCTGCATTGTTCCAAAACCTAATTGAACGCAGCACCCCTATATAGACTCAAAAAAGCTCTTCAAGCCCATTAGAGTGAAGAACATCGTCAATGTCCAAGTGGTTCCCCGCTGCTCTCACGAGGCTTGGACCGTGTTCACCTCCGATGGTGGCCCCTAAAAGCCAGCAGCGGCGATACCGACATTCGTGAAGGGGCAAGAGCAGAGGTCGCAAACGGGTTTTGATTCCTTACCCGTACCCGGCCGCACCAGGGTCGCAAACAGATACCCGTACCCTTCCCGATACCCGGCTACCCGTACCCAGCCGGGTATCAGGTAGGGTACGGGTACCCGATTGCGACCTCTGGGATGAAGCCATGTTGCAGACGTGGGTGGGTTGATTCTAGGAACTTGAATTGTGAGAAGAGACAAGACGTTGGGAAATGAGTGACAAACGGTTACTCACCGGTGACTCACGGTCTACCCGTACCTGTACCCGGCCGCACCAGGGTCGCAAACGGTACCCGTACCCGGCCGGGTACGGGTAGCCGGGTATCGGGTAGGGTACGGGTATCGGGTACCCGATTGCGACCTCTGGGCAAGAGCCAGTCTCTCCCTAAGACAACCCCGGTTGGCTTCTCTCAGGCAGGGCATTTGTTTAATCCACCGTGAGAAGGATGGGGCCCCCCCGAGTCGAACCCAGACTCGGATCTGAACTCGTGACATTGCAGAGGGATGCGGCCGCTTACAGCGAGCCCCACTAAGGCGGTGGGGTCTGAATTCAGCAAACACATTTGCGTGACCATCGTTGCGAGAAGCAATTAGCACGGATGACGAAATTAAAATTGCTTCCAGTGAAAGATTGTTGCACAAAGAACACCACATGTGCAAAACATGAGTGTGTGTTTAATATCCAGTGGGTGTCTGGGATTTGAACTCCGAAACTGGGTCAACGCTTTGAGGAAGGAAATAACAAGTTACCAAGCCACCAAAAGGCTACAACTTTTTGCAAATAGCTGAACTGAATTCAGGAAGCCATTCTCAACACGCACCAAAGTGTGTTGTGAAAGCTGTTTGTTTCCAAGTCTACATTCATGGCTATTTGTGATAAATTATCTTCAATTACAGATATAAATTATCATTACCCTGGGGCAAGTGCTAACAGGGTACCAAATCATGTACAAGGCCTCTCCATATATGGGGCTCCCAGAGGCATATGGCAGCAGCAAACTGTACTCCGACTGACGAGTCGAAATGATAAAAAACGGACTACAGTTGTGCATTTTTGTTACAACGCTTCCTGTTGGGATGGCCACATTTTCTCAACTCTGAATTGGTCTCGGCGACATTCATTCAGTTCTTTTAAGCTGGTGGTCAGGGCCGAGAGCTCTTATACATTCAATGCACACATCTGTGCGCTGCTAAATTATAAGCTGTCCGACCCCCCCTCAAAAGTGTTTAATCTCTTGTCATAAATACCAAATGTATGGTGCCATCTGCTCTCGTTGATCAAACTGCACGAGTGCTATTTTGAGCCTGTTCCACTTTGCATTAAATATCCCGTCAGGTTATTTCAAGAGCTACCACAAGGTGGCTCCACAAACTCACTTTAGGTCACTAGCCTGGGACAGATTGCACATATGGAACAACCAACTGCACGTTAACCAATGCCAGGGGTTGAGACTTCAAATAATCAGCGCAGCACAGAACACACATCATGGTCAGGAGCCGACTCACCCCATAAACTCATCATATCCCCGTGGCCAGTAAAGTAAGTGGTTCTATGTAAGTAGTAAATGGTGTGTGTTATTGTATCCTGTTTAATCGGATGAAATAAATCCACTGAGACACGTAAAACATTGCTTCTATTCCAAGGGTGGCTTGGGTTACAGCAACAACAATATAAGATTCCCGCTCACGGCCACCAGCACCAGTGACGATTATCTGAACCGGTCCTGGGCCTCCCCTAGGTCGACTCGAGTTGGTTCAGGTGTGTAAACATCGCCACTGGGAAGACAACGGCCGTCAAGCGTGGTGCTGACCACCCAACCCCCTTATGTGCCGTGCCGACCTTCATAGGTGCTACCTAACGCCAGTTGCGCGAAAAATCTTTGTCCTTGTACCTGGTCCATTACTCACCTTTCCTGTATGAGCCGGGTGATGGCTTCATTAGCTCGGCATGGTGAACTGAGGGCCTTCTGCAGGAAATCCACCTTCTTCTTAAGGCTCTACAAGGGAGGACACATACACCGGTGGGCGAGCATAAACAGATCGAATTGTCCGACAACATCAAGAGCGGAGACCACACTGAGGGGTGCAGGGAAAACAAGATAAGTTGTGCTGGGTAATTATTAGAAAAGATTAATCGATCATCAGGCACGATAACTGCATTCATTAACCGACATTTATTCTTGTGCTCGTGATGCACGCATCGAATCATGCATTTATGAATCAATTATTTCGATGTGTGTGTTGTACGTGACTGCTTTGCAATGAAGCCTGCAGCCTCAAAAATTCCAGAAGCATTGCGATGGCAAAAAAAAATTCCATTCTTGAATTGAATCGTGACCCCAAATTGTCACAATCCTTCGAATTGTGTGAAGGGCAATTAATTTCATTCCACGTCATTATGTGACACCCATAATGGCCATTATTATTTTATTCAATAAGGCACCATTTTTCCCCCAAATAACATGAACCGAGGGCGAAAGAGAAAAGCTCATCAATGCATCGCCGATAAAGCCAGTTGCGATAGATGTGCCGTTTTCACAATGGAGAACTGGGTGAATTTCATGTTTTGTTGGGGGCAATTCACAAACGGTGCTGTGTGGTTCGAGCACTGTTGGGAGGGTGTCGTCTGCCCGTCATCCTTCAAGGATTGACAATTAAAAATTTTAAATGTTAAACCGCTTCGTGGCAAGTCAAGAGCCGATGTCCTCTGGAGAGACTGGTCCCCACAGTGAACACCAGGAAATTCCCACCGCTGGCTCGGAAGCAAACGGTGGAGATGACCACTTCCCTATAGCTCATTTGAGAAAGGAGACAAGTAACATGTGTTTAACTTTACACGGCAGTTGTCCGGTGTGTGTGTGTGTGTGTATATAGACTAGGGGTTGTTCGGGGGCGCCTGCAGTGCCCCTCACAACCATTGACGGCCTTCGGCCAGGAAAGTCACAAAATAAATGGCACACGAACGACGCATTCACGCAAGCACCCGATGCTCCGTTTTGAAGTTTTAAAATGACACATCTTTGAACTGTATTACGTTTTGAATTAGATAATTTTACTTCTTCACTAAAAGCTTATATCATTTTACATCTGGAAGACTTAATTGAAAAGGACATTTCGTGTGAATTTTCTCTCGTCGTTAAGTAAGTGGCCTTGCTGGGGGTTAGGTTCGGTGCGGACTTTCACCCGTTTGGGATTGCGGGATCGAGATAAGGCGACACAGAGCTGCTGGCTGTACGAGAAGACCGCCGTCAAGAGATCGATTCCCACGTAATCGAGCGTCTGTCCCTGCGCCTCCGTCGTTCATGCAGGGGGCGCGCAGGTTTGCAGCGCCCCCTGCATGAAAACGACGAAAAGTGCAGCGTTCATCACAGATAAAGTTGTGCGCTTATATAAGAGTATTATTTGAATATGGCATTTCTAGCACTAGCCCAGGAAGGCATATGCTTGTTTGAGGACTGAGCCACTTTGAAGGCAAAACTTTTCTGTGCAACGTCATGACCAATGCGAAAGGTTACTCCGTTGGCTTGCGTGTCGTCGTCGACAGCGCGTCACCAGTAATGCACAGAGAGATGTGACTGACACGTTGAACGAGTGCGTGTTATGTGGAGTCGCGCACAGCGCCGGCAACACCAACGCAGCAGCCGGGTTTTGTGTTGCCACCGGGCGGCATAGCGGGAGCAGGGCGAGCGCAACAGGGCGCACAGAGAAGGAGAACAAGCGTGCAGATCAGCGTACAAGTTGAGCACCGTGTGTGGTGCACAGCCACCAAATATAAATCACGCAGGGGTTGGTGCGGCATCCAGAGCACACATTTCCCCGTTTAACAGCATGCGGGCGCACCGCTCGCACGCAGTGTGCACTACAAAACACAGATAGGAAGAATTTAGAAACTAGGAATTACATCAGACACGAGGAAAACTGAAAGGACAAATCAAGACTAAGTATGTCAGCTCAAAATGAGAATAATCATTGACAAATATTCATAAATGAACCGAAAAGACACGTTGCCGCATTTGGTATAAGTGCAATCCTTAGAGCAAAAAAGATATCATCAATGCCCCGTGGGTTTGCTTTGTAGGCTTTACAGAACATGTCCATCTTGAGTCTACTGCGGAACTGGCTCAGTTTGTGACAAATTTCAGACAGTGGCCAGCAACGAGTTCCACATATATTGGCCAACGCCACACAAACGGTGAGGGAGTGGCTGAGCACATGAGTGAGTGCATCACTGAGTGGATTCGTGAGTTTGCGAGTAAGGGATTGGGTGAATATGTTAAGCGAGCAGATTAAATGGGTGCGTCCATTTTTCTCCAGGTCCTCCGGTTTTTCCCTTCACATTTAGAAACATGCCTTCAAGAACATTTAGCTGCCATTAATTTCCACATGACAAGATACTTAGATGCGCTATCATTTGTGGCCAGGTCACATTTCAAAAAAAGAGCTATGTAGCTCAGTGGGTCTTGCATGCGTTAAGACGTGTGCGCTCTGTCACAAGTCGTAACGCGTGCTTTGCCATGTTCCCTTGACGACTTACTCATGCCTGCTTGGTCCCCGATAATGAGTTAGTGCCGGGTGGCCGGTGACATGTTTTGACAGGAAATCTTTCACGCCGTGATTGATAGGGTTACGCACGGGGGCACAGACGATCTTTCCTACCCACGCAGGTAAGCGGAAGAATTGTGATGGATCGCGGTGGTGACAGGTGGCTTGATTAATTGAGGCCTCACAAAGAGCCACCACACAGGAAGGTGAGCAAATCTATGCCGAGTAAATGCAACGTGACAAAGGTTGCATTTTGCATGCACTCACACTCTACATCTCAATGGATCGGAAGGTAGTTACCGAAATGGACTCGCAATCGAAAGGTTCGGAGGTCAAATCACCATCAGGGATTAGCTGGGACTTTTGCGTGCACTTATAAAACACATTCCTGCAGAGGGAGCTGGTAGGAACGTTGGGTTGCTCGGTCAATGGCCAGGGTCAACGGCGGCGTGGTGTATTCCGCAAATATGCCCGACTGTGAGGGCGGGCACAAGCCGGCGTGAGTAGGTTAAACGCTGAGTTTTATAAGGGCACCACGGGGTGACCAGCCCCTCCCCACCCAGCCCCACCCCTCCCAACCCAGCCTCTCCCCAACCTCCCCTCCCCACCCAGCCCCACCCTCCCCACCCAGCCCCTCCCTGCACGACGGACACAATAATCTCCTGTTGGCTGGTGTAACCAGGAGGTTCCTACCAATATTAATGCAGACTTGATTCCTTCAAGAAGGTATCCCATTTGGTGTTTGAACATCTTAACACGTCCTGTTTTATTGCCAGAAAGGGTAAAACCTATCCCTATTTTTCACGAACAAACGAATGCTCACACGGTACGCAATTCCAAAAAAATCGTCAAGGAAAGCACTCCGCGTGTAAACAATGTGGAGCACGATGGTGGACTGAGAATCAGAATATTAAATTATACTGCTCGAGGAATCCGATGGGCCACAAAGCTCTTTATCACAAATGTCCAAGTAGGGGGGGGGGCAGGTCAGAACGTTGCAACAACAAACAGTACCAAAAACACAACAGGAGTGCAAAGGCATAGGAAAGGTAATCAAATCGCTTTCTTGTCGAGTAGCACCCTGCGGACAGGGCCCTGAATATAGAAAAACACAACTCCAGGAACGTCAAATATCACTCCAATAACTGTGGCAAATAAGCAAAAAACTGCGATGGTAAAACCCGCGAATAGGAAGGATTTGCTGGACTCGGTGATTGCCTATGGAGAAATTGGCCTCCTACCATGGGCAAGTGGGGTTCAGTGTCACTACGCGATTAGCACCGCTGCAGAACGCTACAACAAACAACAATACAGAGTGCAAAGTGTAGGAAAGGTAAGTGGGTCACTTTCTCGATGGTTAGCAGCGTGCTACGGCCCCGAATATTGAAAAGAGAACCCTCCAGGCGTTTCAAATAGCACTCGGATAATTTCGTCGCGAATATGCAAAAAAACCACGATTATAAAACCCGCAAATGTGAAGGGTTCTCTGTACTCGGCGATTTCCTACAGAGGGACTGGCCTCCTACAATGGAAAAGTGGTTCAGCGTCACTCCAAGATTAGCACCGGCCTATTCTAGTTTTAGCACGGAAGCAATTTTACGTGAAAGGATTCTTATATTACACAGCTATGCCAGGGAGTACCAGATTTTCCTTGTCTGCTTGTTGGATGTCTTCCTTGGTGACCTTCAGGTGCTCCTCTGTCTGTTCTAACTTGCTGGATGTTCTCTGCAGCTGGATAACAAGACATGCGAGAACAACACAATATCAAACAATACAAAATGACCGCATTAAATGCATTTTTTTATTTCTATGCAGTGTTATGGGGAAACCCACAATACCACCCACACAAGTTCACGATGGGCGAGTGCTTTTTCGAGTCTGACGATCGTCATGATTCCTAGCCTGGAATCGCAATTAATATCCTTGGAATCAAATAAAATTCATTATCATAAAATAGTTTTTTTTTTCATTAAAGGCTCTCAAATGAACACTCATTTATTGACATTGGTGGAGCGATGTAGGAATTTTACCTTGCCAGATAGAAAGCTTCAACGTGTGTGCGCTGCTACTGCTATTGTTAATCCGGCTGTTATGGATTAACTTACGCAGCTCGCGAAGGATGCTAGGTTTAGTGATGTGTCGCTATTGTAAACTTTTAATCACAGTTGTTGGGAAAACTGTTACGTTGTTGTAGTAGGTTTTTACCCTTTCAACTGGTACAAAAACTGACACCTTTATACAAGGCATCTACTACTATATTTTGCCACTGGTAAAGGAGATGTCTCAGTGTAAATGCTTACCCCGAGCTCTCAATATTCTGATAATGCGCTGTCGTTGAGTTGTGCGCCTTTTGGCATCATCTGGTCCAACACCATGTGAGACTGGGCTCTAAAAAAAGCTGTCTCGGGTGTGGACCAATCAACTTCAAGGACAGTGCACATCATTATCAGAGTTGTTTCTTTTTGTTTGAATTTTGACTGCTTGTGTTGTGGTTATTGCAAACATGATGCCTTGTATAAAGGTGTCAGTTTTTGTACCAGTTAAAAGGGTTAAAACCTACTACTATATTTTGCCACTGGTAAAGGAGATGTCTCATAGTGTTACGTTGTTTATATAGCATTGTTTTAGTAAGTTTTAGAGGGGCTTGGTTTAGCCAGATTTTTTTTATTTAGTATAGATATATACTTTTTTTTTAAATATCTGTATTGTATTATCATTGTTATTGGGATCAAACATCGAAATTGATTTTTTTGCACTTTCTGTACGCAGCATGGACGGGTTGTGCTTTTTCTCTAGGATTTTATTGTTTACGTACATGATGTTCAGATTTGTGTACAATGAATTTTAGGTGTATCTTGTAATTTTATTGTTTGTTGCGGTTGAACCCAAATCAAGAGCGGAATGGCTCACAGGGCAAATCCTAATAAATTAAACTGAAAACTGAAACACGGGGTGCATGTTGGACGTTGTCTAACCGTGCGTTATCAGCAAGCTGGCGACCAGGATGATGTAAATGCAGATTGTGCGGTGCTTTTAAGTGACAGCGAGGTGTTGTGGCATCCAACACAATTGGCCATCAGGTCCTGTTCACACTTAAGAGCAGCAGCCAGCTTCTTACCAGATTTTGGAATGAAAGACGCTCCCTTTGGATTCGATCCTTTTCTTCTACCACCAATTTGAGATTATCTTTCAGTTTGTCGTACTCCCTAAGGAAAAGCATTTAGCAAATTAATTAAAAAAACACAATATGATACACGCCAAATCTAGATTTGAAGCTTTCGTGACTGCAGGAATCCATACTCTTTGGTTCTTTCGGTAAAGTCACGTAGATAGAAAATATTTTTTTTTGTATTACATCTTCCCATGAACATCAAATAAAGCACACGGGATGATTAAATATAAAGTAATGTCTAAATATCAAAGAATATGGCATTCATTCTTTGGTAACAGTTATACATTTAGCATATGCTAAATATTATATCCTACAGACCTTGATATTTGGAAACACAAATGCAATTATTGCTCGTTTAAAATTGCTAATTTATAAACGTAGCAACATCAACCACATCTAGCTCTCACTGAGAAATAATTGCATTATTTAAAGTTTCCTTCATATCTATGCACAGCCAAACATTCAAAACGATTAATATCATGAACAAAAAAACTTTGGGATAATAAAAAAATAAGTACCAACAATAAACTTAAAATTTTTAAACAAATTTAGTTTTTACTAAATTTACTAAATTATATCGCCAATAAATTGCATGTTAATATCACAATGTATTTTTTCGTGCAGCTGATTTTTAGAATGCAAAATAATCTACAATACTCAACCAGTGAATACCTTTCTTAAAAAAATGCTAAACTGATATCTTTAAATAGTATAGTGAAGTCAGTGAAATCTGTCTCTTTGCCATCGACCAATGGGGGCCGCACTCATCTGCGCTGGTGTCCACATTACTATGGCAGGGCCAGTCAGCAGACGAAGATGAAACCATTGTGCAAGCCCTCACTTGATGCAGCAAATCTGGCTGTGACGGTCCCACCTGATGACGGAGACTTGTGTTGCCTCCGAAACGTCGTGATTTTTATTTTTATTCATTTTTATTTCACTTTTCTACCTACGTGACTTTACCGAAAGAGCTAAGAGTATGAATCCTTGCAGTCTTCAGGTGGCACCATCACAGTAAAATTACTGTATCAAGTGGAGAGAACTCTGAGACACGACACTATATACAGATTGTATAAATACATATATACAACCTGAAGACGGAAGCTTGTGTTGCCTCCGAAACGTGATTTAATTTATTTTCTTTTATTTTTATTTACTTTACCGAAAGAGCTAAGAGTATGAATCCTTGCAGTCACGAAAGCTTCAAATCTAGAATGAAACCATTGGCTTTGCTCAATGCCAATCATTTTATTTACCCTGGAACATAGTGAATTTACCAATGGAAAACATTCAAAGCATTCTGCCCTGTTTTTATCAATGGGCAGTGCATACATCCACCGTCTGATCTGAAACCATGAATATTCTAAATTTGTATTCCATAGAGATCAGTCTTTCGTTACCCCAACAGCAGCTGTCTTCTTTTAAAATAGAGCAGCCTCACCATGTGAAGCTCATTTTCTTATACCCCAAAGGGATGTCAGGGCTAAGTCAACTCTGACCGGGATTTGAACTCAGGTACTTGTGGTCAGGAGACTGCTGTATCTATCCCTCCCGAGGAAGGTTTCCGGGCCAAGTTGGTAACGATGTGTGTCGGGATGAGCCATTTCCCGTGTGAAATGGTGCAAAATATTTAAAGGAACGTGCTCAACGTGCACCGACAATAATGTGCCTTGTTTAAAGGCGTATTTAAAGTTTAACATCTTTTTAGATAAGACGTGAACTATTACCCATTGAAATGAATACACGTTTACAACAGCAGACACTAGCCTACGTGCCATATTGTTAGGAAGGGCCAATTCATTCATAATGTGAATGCGAAATGATCACCTTGAAAAAATGTGGCCAAAAGGAATCTCCCCCCTCCAGACCCAAATCCAGGCTAAGAAATGGGGTTTCTTATGATGGCAAATGTGACGTGAATGGTTATTTTAACATTTATAAAACTGGCTAATGACACCAGCGCACAATAACCTGCTCTTGTGAAGGTGACATCACGGTAATGTACACGTGACTTTAGCAGTAGTGGCAACGTGGTAAGAAAGCATGAATCACAATCAGAAGGTCATGAGTTTAAAGTCCTGTAGGGAATGCGTTCAGCCTATTATCCAGCCTTGGTCGATACGATGAGCACCGCTTTGTAAGAAATCAAAAGGAATCATTGCATGGACTGATCCTGGACATGGAAATGTTGAATCTTCACAAATGCCTCAGGACTGCCAATGAAGGCAAGCATCACACCATTGCTAGTTTGAGCAAGAAGATAGTTACTATATTTTACTTTCTAAATATGCTTTGATAATGGCCAGATTTGAGGCCATTATCACGGTTGATGTGAGCTGTATATATGTTGAACTTCTTTCGCACCGTACATCCGAGCTACTGAACCCTCACCAAACTGCCATCTTAGTGGCGTTGGTGCCAAGCAGCAGTGTGTGTCCAGTCGTGTTAATAATCATAGTAGCTCAGCTTATTGAGAGTATATTTAGTATAATGATGATAATATGTAGTTTATACTTTAGTTTTTTACGTGGTTGTTTAGTTACTGCAGCTACATACTATTAACATTCCTTCCCTTTATTAATGCTACCCCTATCCCCTCCCTTTGATGCTGCTAATCCTGCATAATGCACGAGCATAATATGACTTTGAAAACCCCCCGCCCACCTCCTACGCATTTCACAAGTAGTACTAATCACATTCCTGCATTTCACATAAATATGCTAAATGCCGCTTGATATGCAAATTATTTTGTCAAAGCGCACTTCCCCCCTTCCAACCCAGCTTAAATATACGCTCCAAGCGTTTTCATTCAAACGCTGTCTCCCCGACAGACCTGGTCTTCACCTGAGGACGGCTGCTTGCGTTGTGGCCGAAACGTCGTGAGAATTATTTTATGTTTTATTTGTATTATTTTATTACTTCCCTTCTACGTGACTTTACCGAAAGAACCAAGAAGAATCATAACAGTAACAAAGGTGACGGTGAGGATGACATCAGGTACCTTTTCATAGAAATGCAGTAGAGCGAGAGATGTTCCACAGCAACTGCACCCGTGCCAACATCTCCTACCAGGCTCTTCACCTCATCTCCTTGTGCACTAAGAAAGCTCTCGAGTCTACAGTAACACCCACAAAATGCCATCGAGTGAAACTCCCACAATAACGTTCATTCACAGCAATGACACACGTGTCAACAAATCATCGTCACACACACAGTGAGCGTAGACTTGCTATTATTATCTTTTAAACCTTTTCTCACAAATGTATTACACTCGTGAGATTGTGTCATATCAAGTGATCAAGTCCACGTATAGATCTCGCATAACGGTGCATCCCCACAGAAGCAAACATCACAAAGCTGCCACTGAGATCTCTTTAAGTGATCTCTTTTCCACAAAAGGGGGCAACACTTTCCCACCTGCTCTGCCACTGAGTCATACAGGTAGTCCCCGACTTACGATGGTCTGACTTACGATATTTCGATCTTACGATGGCGATAGCGATATGACAAAATTGTAACATATTTTACATTTCGCGCGGCAGGCAAACGTAGCAGTGTACGAGGTACGATACTGTACGTTGGGACGCTGCCGGGATGTACTGTACGCATATAGTTTATACAGTACAGTACTGTAAATTGCTCTGTTTTGCTAAATTATCACCATTCTTTATAACTCCTGGGTAGGCTAGGCCATTTTCGACTCACGATATTTTCGACTTACGATGGGGTCGTCGTAACGCATCTCCATCGTAAGTCGGGGACTACCTGTATTTATGCATTAGAATCCAACCAGTAATTTTCATTCTGAGCGTTCAGAATTGGCCAAAGTGCAAGGATGAATGTCACGCGATGGTATTATTGTGCGGTCGCAGGTGACCCGGGGCTCTTGACAACCAACTAACTACACTTGAGGGTCGTGGTTTAATCACAGGCCTAAATTCTAACAGAGGATCTCAATGGTGCCAGCTCAATGCTCTGACCACTGAGCCAGCCGGCCACCTCTTCAGGAGTATAGACTGAAAAGAATGAACGTTGGCTCTACAACAAAAATAATACCTCTCCATACTCTGCATCTTGATTCGAAGGCGTTGAAGCTCAGCCTTGGTTGCCTTGGCATCTGCATTCTGCTTGTTAAAAAACTTCATTTGTTCCTGCATAATGCACATCGATGTTCGCAATGACCAATAATGAATAACAGTTATGAAAGCAACCCTCAAGGCAGGGTTGACTGTCCCATTGAAGCCACATTAATTATCGAATTAACGGCATATTAGTGGGCATGTTACTTGCGGGCTTGTACGCAGACACATCGACTCTATTCCAGCAGCTGCCTGGTCATTTCAAAAGTATTTACCAAAGTGCATTATCTACTGGAATATAGATAGCAAAGAACTTGTGACATAATTTACACACAATTATGTACCATTGTCAAAGCTGGAATCGCATCATGAAAAATTCCTGCAAGGAAATGTGTTTGACTTATTTGTAGGCTTCGAGGAAATTTCCACATTTCTTGGCGGAATAAAAAACGGTGGAAAAATGTGCATGTTTCAAAACAGTTGGGAGATACCGCATTTCTGCAAACACAATAATGAAGCCCAATGAATAGAAATAGTGCATAAAACTCTAACATGTTTAAACAAAGATAATTGGTTTTTTTACCCTTCTATTTAGCAACAAAACTGACACCTTTTTACAAAGAGTCATGTTTGCATAGACCACAATACCTGCAGTCATAATGCAAACAAAAAACAAGTCTGATAATGTGCACTGTCCTTGAAGTTGATTGGTCCACACCCGAGACAGCTTTCCTTAGAGCCTAGTCTCACATGGGTTGGACCAGATGACACCAAAAGGCGCACAACTCAAAGACAATGCACCATCATGTTTAAACAAAGTGTATCATATTTATATTTAAATATGCACAGCATGAAACACAATTTCTATGCGATCACCTACACCAGGCTCCCATTAATGGGCCACTGTGTTGTCGTCAGGGTTCAATTGCAATACAGGGACACGTTCCGGAGCTGCTCGTGAATAACAAAGTTACGGAAAATATTGGCCGATTAAAATAAAAACATAAATAAGCTATTAAATACATGAAAATTGTGTTGCGACCGAAACATCGTGTTTTCTTTCATTATTTTGTCTATCTACGTAACGTTACCGAAAGAACCAGAGAGTAATAAACATAAAGTAAATAAAAATATATATTACAAAATTAAATAACAGCTTACAAATTAACTTAGCTTAAATCATGGTGATGCTGTGCATGATCACTTTATCTCATCACTTTCTCGCATCACCATTCTCTCTCTCTGGTGACTTTCACTCTCCTTCTCGATGCAGCAGTATATAATTTAATGTTGGGTTTGTCTATGGCAGTATATAGTACGGGGTAGACCCGTGTGATGTAAGAGAAAAAAGTTTAGCTGGAAGCATATTATATTTTTTGCGACGTAGAATTGTAATGTATTACTTACTGTTAGTAGCTCAGCTTATTGGAGAGTATATTTAGTATACTGATAATACTATGTAGTTTATACTTTAGTTTTCTACGTGGTTTAGTTACTGCAGCTACATACTATTAACATTCCTTCCATTTATTAATGCTACCCCTATCCCCTCCCTTTGATGCTGCTAATCCTGCATAATGCACGGGCATAATGACTTTGAAACCCCCTGCCCACCTCCTACGCATTTTACAAGTAGTACTAATTCCATTACTGCATTTCCCATAAATATGCTAAATTCCTCTTAATATGAAAATTATTTTGGCAAGGCGCTCTTCCCCCTCCAACCCAGCTTAAATATACGCCCCAAGCCTGGTGGTGTTTCATTCAGACATTGTCTTTCCGACAGACCTGTTCTCCACCTGAGGACGGCTGCTTGCGTTGTGGCCGAAACGTCGTGAGAATTATTTTATAATGTTTTATTTTTATTATTTTATTATTTCCCTTCTACGTGACTTTACCGAAAGAACCAAGAAGATGAATCCCTGCAGTCACGACAGCTTTAAATCGAAAGATGCAGCAGTCGTGAAGAGTTCCGCAAGCGATTCGCGGACAGCCCTAAGTCGCGGACAGCAAGTTGGCGACAGGCGACGGGATGGTGTACCTGGAGAGCTGCGCAGATCTCTTGGCTCTCCTGCAGCTGCTTGTTCACCACCTCCAACCTTGTGGACTTGTTCCCCAGGGAGTGCTCCAGGACACCCATCGCTTTCCTTACCTCCGTCAATTCCTTCACTGAAAGGACGCGGCAGTCAACGGTGCTGCTTTTGGTCAACAAATTCCCCCTTGCTGTTCATTCATCGATCTTTGGGTTGGCTCATGGAATTATCTGGCCGTGTGTGCGTCGTTAAATCCTTCCACCACCCGATTCAGGAATTCAAATGTAGCGTGGTTAGCACACTATACTTTCCTGTCAGTTGGCAGCGTTGTGCTTGTACGCCACTGCCAAGACTAACATTGAATCGAGTACGACTACAACTATTAGATAAAGCTTTCGCAAGTTTCCATTCATTATGTGAAAAAATAAATTATTAAAGACACCATTCACAGCTAATATAGAGAATGTGGCAAGTATATTGTCCTGTTGGTAGGTCAATCCTTCCAAATAATGAGAACAAATATTCTCTTGACTGTCGCACACAAACTGGTGGAATATCAAAGGTGGGTCAGGGTAAGGAACTGCACATGCCATGGGCATGTGGAATGTCCAGCCCTTGCACAGAATCAGTAACGAAAAATACAAACAACCAAATCGTGTTTGATCATGAGGACACTGATTTAACAGACGCTAATAATAAGGGTTCATAGACACTTCTCGGTGTGAGAATCTCCCATTTTTGAATCGCATCACTGGGCCAATGTCCTTGTGGAATGTCTTTGCATGGGAGATGTTGGAATTTAATGGTCCATCCCATCTTCCGTAATGTAGCTTAATGTACTAGATTTTGAAAGTGCCTTTCATGCAGTCCCTGAACGTGGATGAATATTTCATGCGTTTTTAGAAATGAATCCAACAGCATTTAATAATGCATTGATTCCTGGCACCCACGATGCTGGAGGCAATTTCCTTACAATATTAATTTTAAAATCAAAAAATCTCACCATGTACAGAATGTGAAATTGGGTTAATAACATGTGACGTAAAATATAAAATTGGATTTGCTTGAAATATGTTTTTAAAAGTCAATATCATTGTCAACTTGACACAATGTCAAGTAAAATATGACAATTCTCATTGACTAAAGTTTAGTTATATTATATTCAAGTCTTTTATTTGCGTATGTGTATATATGTGTATATCCTGTCGGGGAGCACTTTGGCAGAGCATTCAAATCTCATTCAGAAGGTCAGAAGTTAAATTTCAATCACCAGCCACATCCATTGATGCTTACTTGCTAAGACTTTCAGTGAAACGAATTTGATGACATTGTATTACAATTTTACATTCTATTTCAACAGGTATTGAATATGAAACAATGATTAAAGAAAAAGAAAAACATAATGGTGCCACTTAAAACTCAAGATGTTCAATTCAAGGTCATGCCTCCAGGGTTTATTCATTTTCATGTTACGCCGAAGGCCTGCGAGTCAATCGTTCAAAATGTATCAGTTGCTCAACGGAGTTTAATAATGCATTGAGGTCAATGCATAGCCATGCTTGTGGCATAGATGCAGAGAGGTAGGTGGTGGTTTCTGAGCTAGACTTACATACAAATATTAAAAGATTACAATGACATTTTCAGCTCCTGACTGTTACACAAAAAACTAGCACACATAGGTGAGGAGGAGGGTGTGATCCAAGTCATTTGAAGCTTGCCTTCTCGAATGCATTGGGTGACATCATACGTATGTGCCTAAAACTATAATGCAGTGCCTGCACGTTTATTAAATGCTCCGACTCACTTTTCACCACAAGTTGTAAATTCTTCTTGTCCAACTCATTCTAAAACGAAACAAGTATATCGATTAAAAATGGGTCAAAGGAAAGATCAAAATATAGAGCAATGGCATATACTGTTCTATATATGTTTAAAAGAGCATACATTAACACATAATTACTCCATCTTTTCATTCAAAAGCAATAAATCATTACTTATTCCCTAAAAAGCAGTCACAATATCAAATATGCATGCACGTTGTGTGTGCGTCACCTATGCTCCTATAAATTGATGGATTTATTTTCCAAATATCAACATGGTGAAGCTGGTTAAGTAACCTTCAAGAAATTGTTTTTTTTTTACCATTAAAATTAGGGCTTAAAACATGTATGAGCCGACCTCAATAATGTTAATTTGGTGCTCGCTTCATTACCGATCAGATCCAAACGGAATCGACTTAAATGTGAAAGACGTCAAAGTTTCTCCCCGCTCAACAAGAGAGCATGGGGACACCGCTCAGCGATGTTGGCAGCCTTGATCGCCAGTGTGGTGGAAAGTTCGCATCGCTTGAAGACAGGGCAAAAACCAAACTTTACTTCCCACAGAAGGAATTAAAACTCACAAACGTTCACAATGCGAGCCAAGCATGACGACAGCGCAAAGGTCGCAAACGGGTTTTGATTCCTTACCCGTACCCGGCCGGACCAGGGTCGCAAATGGGTACCCGTACCGGGTCGGGTACAGGTACCCGGCCGGGTACGGGTACCCGTTCCCTACCCGTACCCTACCCGAAATGAGTGACAAACGGTTACTCACCAGTGACTCACGGCATACCCGTACCCGGCCGCACCAGGGTCGCAAACAGGTACCCGTACCTGGCCGGGTACGGGTAGCCGGGTATCGGGTAGGGTACGGGTATCGGGTACCCGGTTGTGACCTCTGCGACAGCGGCCCCCAGATGTGATTAAAGCTTCAGGGATTATCAGTCCAAAAGCAAGATGGTCAAGAGCGACATCATACGAGTCTTTTTTTCCTTCTGTCATTTTTGTCAAACATAAATTATTCCCAGTGGCATACATCAGCTGTATAGGGCAATGAGTTAATGCATCATTAGGATAAATGTGCTTATGGCATTGGGGGTATTAACGGTTATGTAAAGCATATGCTATTTAAAAATGTATGCGTGCTATTCGGTGCCACGTCTTGGTGGGCAGGAAGCAATGCATGCTGCCCAGCAGACAAGAACGTTTTGGAAAACATTCATTCAAAATGTTTTATTGTTATTATTTAATTATTTCCCTTCTACGTGACTTTACCGAAAGAACCAAGAAGATAAAAGAACCCGTCAAGCTAATACAGAGTGACAATCTGTATGTTATTTTTACATTATGTAAGCCCGAATGGAATTGAACCAAGCATGATTATTTGGGTTGAACATACTTTCTCAAATTAAAATACCTCTTAAAATACATGCTCAAGTTCATGCAATTTTCGCGAGGGCTGGGAAGTTCTGACGATTTAAAATTGTGGAATCCATCCTTTACAACTGAAAATGACTCCTAACGGGGACATAGGATCAGCATAATAATACAATTGTGGGAGAGATAGACTGCCTGGAGCATTGCCTGGTGTTCAGGCTAAAAATGAAGCTCTGTAAGTAGGGGCTTGGCCAGCAAAGTGAATTCCCCACTGAAACAAATCCCTCTACAATATGTTCCATCGCCAATTCTGGTCGATACACCGGTGTGTCCTCGGTAGCGGTGTCTGAACACACCACGTGGTCAAGCACCAGTGCTTCACACACGAGAGGTTTTCTGAAGGCCCCTCCTGCCCTATTTTTGGCCCTGCTTGAGATTGTTTGCCGAGTACCGGATCCAGTATTTTCCTGCTCTCGCCGTATTTGGCGCGTCCTCTAATGGTAGGCAGTCGCTCATTACAGTCACTCGCTTACCGGCGGCGGTCAGTTGCCTCATCACTCTTTTAGCGCTCCTACAATGGTTACCATTCCTGTAAACTTTACTCATCGATGGCTCCACCCAAGTTAAGATAACTCGGGGTCTACAAGACTGGCTGTTTCATCTCACTGCGAGATACTGGACATGGAATAGCCGAATCGCTCATCGGATTTTTCCAGGATAAATAAAGATTCTGATTCTTCCACAGTGCGTTCGGCCACCACATTGCAGGGCACAACACTTCCCTTTTATGCCTTTACTCCATTGCACTTGGGACAAATCTGAAATTATCCCCCCATAGTTGTTTACCCCAACAAGCTCCAATTAAAAACCTCGTTCGTTTGAAGAAACTTGTTAAATCTCATCTATTGTAACTAAAGGCAGTAGTGTGGGTTGTGGCCACTTGGTGTGTTATGGTTCCGCTGAACCTCTGCTCAGCAACTGTGTTAAAAATAAATACATAATATAGAAATATATTACATCTGATTTATCCACAGCTGGAATGACGTTTATCCTGTGGAAAGATTGGCCCTGCCAAAAGAAAGTGTAATTCACACCACTGGCTCAGAGCCATCAACAGGGATGAGCAGAGCCCAAGGCTCATTTGAATATGAAGACGATTGGATTAGTTTGACGTTATGCATACATTTCCATTAATTTAATATAGATTGATAGAGCACCATCCTTTTCCTAAATATGAACATACTTATTTGGTTATCAATAAACTGCGAATGTGGATTTGAGGAGCATCGTATTGTACATTCCTATCAAGCGCCCACCAGACTTAAGATTAAAACAACATGGCCCAGCTGCAGCCGAGCTAAAATTAATCTGCAAAGTGCAAATCCTCGAATGCGAACGCGAGACGATAAATGAAGAAGCTTTTGTTCCGTTTTTAATTGGATCTCACCAAGATGCATATAGTGCCACTATAAATGCAAACAGATAGGCTACAAAAAAAACGGTAACAAGCCATTTCAATGTTTGTAAGATGTATAAAATTTAAATAGCTTATTTTGTTTAAATTTCATATCCGGTATATATGTATGCAAATGCATTTCTCTGAAAAGGAATTAATTTAACGTGTAGTTTTTCATATGCAGGTCTTGAATACCAATACTTGCACTCACCGTTTACACTCGCAAAACTAATGTTTGTAAAAAAACACGGAGAAATAACGATGCAATATGCATTCAAATAAATATATGGCCCAATGTATCTTTCTCAAGACATTTCCTGTAAGTCCTTTACCATGTATCATTACTGCAAATGTGGTGCATGACCAAAAATATTACATCCATGCATTTCAATTTTGAAGGTGTCTCTGTCAGGCTTAAACGCTGTAAGGACAAGAAACCACTACGCTTTAACACTACAGTTTAGGAATCTAGCTATCCGAAGATTACTTGAAAACAAATGGATTTTTATTTAAATCAATTTTCAAATGAGCATGGAGTTGGCTGCTCTAAAACAATGGTGGAAATTCCATATTCCTCTGGTGAAGGTCAAAAAACACAGCCTCTGCTGTTGTCTTCCCACAAAAATATACTCATTATTAATGAATATTGAGTAAAAAAACGGACTAGAATGTTAACCCACACCATTGCTTCCGAATATAAATTGATCATTCTAACCACATTTTTACTCGGCTGTTAAGCGATTTTAATTTTGGAGCTTTCGTGACTGCAGGAATTATTCTTTGGTTCTTTCGGTAAAGTCACGTATAAAGATAAAATAATAAATTAAATAATAGCATACGACGTTTCGATTGCAACACAAGCAATCATCATCAGGTATAAATGAAATAGCAACAAAAAATCTAACCAGGTTAGATTTTTAGATTTTTTGTTGCTATTTCATTTATACCTGATGATGATTGCTTGTGTTGCAATCGAAACGTCGTATGCTATTATTTAATTTATTATTTTATCTTTATACGTGACTTTACCGAAAGAACCAAAGAATGTTAAGCGATTGTTAATGACGGGGCAAAAGTATGTTCAGTCTCGCTAATTAAGACACGTCCACACCTTCAAGTCACACAAGCCTGGACATGAATAGCCACTCGAAGGATTTTACCTGCAGTGTTTCTGGATCCTGCAGGAAGCTACTTTCGTCAGCCACATCAAAGAAAAGCTTGCTGATTATGTTTTGGGCATTCACCTGTGAACACAGAACGACAGTAGACATCTCACAGCGCAATGTATAAACACACGGGGCATTCGCACGAAAAACTCAACTCAAATTTGGTTGTCATGCTCCAATAAGAATGTGTTGGTGGTGCTCATCCGTTCTGGAAATCCCAAACCAGTGATGGAAGTGTAAAACTCATTGTGGGGAGGGGGGGCCCGCTCCCTCCATCGGACAACCACTACTGACTCGCCATAAAGTGGCACTGCTCATTTTAACGCCATCCAAGTAAAACCTTGGATTGCGAGCATAATTCGTTCCGGAAACGTGTTTGTAATCCAAAGCACTTGTGTATCGAAGCGAATTTCCCCGTGACGCTCGGCAGACAAAGCGTATACTGTACGTACTACAGTACTCGTATTTCAAGCCATCGCTCGTTTATCAAATTAATATTTATTAAAAAATTTGCTCGTCTTGCAAAACACTCGCAGACCAAGTTACTCGCAATCCAAGGTTTTACTGTACGTTGGGGTGATGACTCGAATTGATCCCCAATCAGGATATGAGGTATAGGTTGGAGATTACAACCACAGCACCACAGGGCAAAATTACCCAGTCATGTAAAAAGAACGATCCGTGCCCGACACTTAGTGGGACATTGTAACTTTTGTTCACAACAGCGGGAACAATATACCAGGCTGGCAAAAGACTTTTTTTCCGCACGAAAACCCACGCGAAAAATGTGTAGTTGTGGCCAGTGAAATATTGATGATACATTCATTTCCTGACAAGGGACCAAACATGCCACTGTTGCATTCTTTCAACTTTTTTGATTCCCAGAGTGCCTCATGTGCACAATGCTGAGAATGCACCTCACACAAGAACCGGCATGAGGTCAGGTCAACACAGACACAAAGGTGCCTATGTTTAGCACGCAGAGCCAGCGTGTGTTGCTTACATTCAAAGAAGAGAACAAAGATTGCAACAATTAACTGCTCTTCACACCTCTGAATTGCGCATATCGGTTGTGAAACACTTCACGCAAAACATGGGCAGAATCTTCAGCTAAGGTGACATATTTGTAAGGGTTTGCCATTAATATCACAATTGTATTTTTCACGTACCTTCCATCTCTATCCGAAACATGATTTTGATTGATAATTGTTTTTTTACCCTTTTATCTGGCTACAAAACCGACACCTTTTTTACAAGGAGTCATGTTTGCATTGACCACAATACCTGTGGTCAGAATGCAAACAAAAAACACAACTCTGATAATGTATGCACTGTCCTTGAAATTGATTGGTCCACACCCGAGACAGCTTTTCTTATAGCCTAGTCTCACATGGTGTTGGACCAGATGACGCTAAGAGGCGCACAAAAAAGGTGTCAGTTTTGTTGCCAAATAAAAGGGTAAAAAAACAACTATCATATTTGGCTACTGGCAAAAGAGGTTCCAATGATGATTTTGATTCTTTGAATATATACATTTTTCCCGATATCTCACATTATTATAAGATATCTATTATATATTACAGTTCCATTTCCTGCCCCCCCCCCCCCCCTCTGAGGGCTTCATTAGTGAATTACCACTCATAAACCTCCACTCTGCTGCTCTCATGCTCCCACGATGATCAGGTCAGGTGGACGAGGCAGATGGATTGTTGCCTCGGAGAACTTTAGCGCTGGCTTCGGGGCATTTTCATCCAGCAGCGGATAAACAGTGGCTGACGATTGAGACAGATTTCAAATATTTCTCCAGCAAAGTGCTCAATGAGTGCAAGAATGCCCTACTGTGCACTCAAGACGATTATTCAGAATACTGATCAAGACATAAGGTTAGGGTTAGGGTTTCAAGTACTGCTGTAATGTGGTAGGAAACTAGGGAATAACATTTTGCCACATACACACGCGCAGGCCACACTCCCACACACACACGCGTAGGCCACCCACCCTGCAATATTTTTTTTTGCAATATTTTGCTGTCTTTTCTTGGATTTTCTGTTTGCACTCAGTCACATATTCACTTTAAGATGTTTTTTGTTAATGTTTAGTTTTTTGTTTGTTGCAGTTGCACCCGATTCAAGAGCCTAATGGCTCACAGGGCTATTACCTAATAGATAAACTTGAACCTACACACACACGCCCGCCATATAACCACTGGAAGCCCCCTGCATTTTAGACGCTTTTACTTAACTCACCTCTGTCTGTTGTATCCTCAACTCTGTCTGTTGTCGTATCCTCAAATCTTGTAACTCAATTTTAACCCACTTCCCAATGTCGTATCGACTGCAACCTTGGTATACATATGTCATGCAGATGACAATACTATATTTTATCATAAAAATATATATTTTTATATATATATTTAAATATATATATTTTTAAAGCAATCTTTTTTTATGTTATGTTTCAGCTTGGGTCTAATTGTCCACGCTCAACTAATGTTGGCTGTATATCACCACGGTCCCTTACGTTATGGCAAGCTTCGGGGCCACTTCCTGGAGTCGTGGAGTTCTGCCATTACGGGACATTTCATTAAAGCGTGTTTTTAAAAAAGTATTTTTAAATATTACTTTTTTAAGAACATTTTGCAAACAGCATTCATTCACAATTTTAAGCAACATGGAGGTGTCAAAACCCGAGACAAATAATAAAAATAACAAACCACACTGACGAGAACAAATCATAGACTGGCCACCTTCGATGCTTGTATTGCCACTAAGCTTAAAAATATAAACCAGCCAGACCTTTTGGGAGAGTGGCCCCTTTAACACACAAAATGCCAAAACCATAGAACCACACTCTTAAGATAGAACACAACATGCCGAGATCAGAGCAGACTACGTACCCTGAAATAAAAAAAAGTACAGAGGACATGTATAAAAAAAGAGCACACTGAAAAAAAAATGAGAAATGATAACACACAGCACACCCTGGAGAGAACAGCTGTTACACACTTTGAAATCCAGATCACGACTAGATTGCCATTCTCCACCGTCCACTTATTGATGTATGCTCCAAAATAACACTAAATGTGCGTCTATAAATCAGACACTCCCATGATGCAGTGTCAGCAAATGTCAGTGAGCGGTCAGTATATTATAAGGTCGCATTTTAAGACATCTGCATGAGACTGGGGTCAAATGTTCACCGGCCAGTTGCAGTTTATGCATCAAAGCTGGTTGGATTGGCAGATAAAGCATTATTTTGGGAATGTGCATGATGGCATTTGTTCTGGTATTCATTCTCAATAAGCTATAAGGTGAATTTTCCAGTTCAGAATCAGAGTGGTGAGTTAGATCATTTAATGAAGCCTTTCAGGGAAGGTGTTTAACGATGGAACAAACAAGCAAATTCAATTCTAGATTTGAAGTTTTCGTGACTGCAAGGGTCCATACTCTTTGGTTTTTTCGGTAAAGTAAATAAAAATAAAAGAAAATAAATTAAATCACGTTTCGGAGGCAACACAAGCTTGCGTCTTCAGGTTGTATATATGTATTTATACAATCTGTATATAGTGTCGTGTCTCAGAGTTCTCTCCACTTGATACAGTAATTTTACTGTGATGGTGCCACCTGAAGACGGAAGCTTGTGTTGCCTCCGAAACGTCGTGATTTAATTTATTTTATTTTTTACCTACTTGACTTTACCGAAAAAACCAAAGAGTAAGCAAATGAAAGCCCGCGTGGTTTCGGAGGCAGGTGGGGTTGTACTGAACATTGTTAACGTTCACGTCGTTAATGAAGCACTTGGAATGAGCCATGGATGTTTCGGGGACCTTAAAACAGCATACGACTGTTTCAAAATAATAGCTACGGGAAATCCTATGTTGCTATTATACGTCAGGTTAAATAAGCGTCCTGCTTAGAGATAGCGTGTTAGTTATAGGCGCGTTAGGATTATAGCAAAAGGGTATACGCTAGGGTGCATTTTAGGCGTGTTACTTCTAATACTCGGGTAAGGATAAAGGCTAGGCTTGTTAGGATTCAGGTTATTCTGCTTAGCAGTTGATCGTTAAGTGGCACGCTTATTAACATGCAAATTGATTTTCAATACATCACCACATGTGAAGAGATGAGCTAATTTTAGCATAAAAATCTATATGATACGATCGCCATGGAGACACATCACGTTGTTTCCTTACAGGGCAGTCCCTACAGCCACGTGAGTGGCTGTAATCCATCTCACGATATTTCAGCTCATGTCGAAAATCTCCCCCGCTCAAATGAGCACTGGGTGATGCTCACCTCCAGTCGCGGCCCCTCGCAGCCGATTGTGGAAACTTCATATTACAATAACAGGGACCAGTCTCTCCAAAGGACATCTGCTGTTGACTTCGCATTTAATTGGTGTCAATTTTATTGACCAGTTAGTGTTGATGGGCATAGTAAAAACTCGATTTTAGTCAAGATTTACCTGGTTTTCATAAGTGGTTACTGGTACGCTCCCCACTGCATGAATAACCCAGTCATTATTTGAACTCCCAGATTTAATTGACCATTGCAACTGAGTGCTGGCCAGAGCACCAGCAGATTTGGGCATGTGGTAGCACCTGTCAGCACCTGTCATTCTCGTCTCTGGCCTCTTTAATTACCGGAAGGGCCATTGCCTTGACACGTCACCTGTTTATATATATATTTCTTTATTTTACTGGTAGGAACCACCTGGTTCCTACCAGTAAAATAGGAACCACCTGGTTCCACCAGCCCACAGGGGATTATTGTGTCCGTCCGTCGTACATTCAAAAATGGGAGGGGTGGGGCTGGGTGGAGAGGGGAGGGTGGGGAGGGGCTGGGTGGGGAGGGGCTGGTCACCCCGTGGTGCCCTTATAAAACTCAACGTTTAACCTACTCACGCCGGCTTGTGCCCGCCCTCACAGTCGGCCATATTTGCGGAATACACCACGCCGCCGTTGACCCTGGCCATTGACTGAGCAACCCAACGTTCCTACCAGCTCCCTCCGCAGGAATTTGTTTAAGGCCAGTGTTAATAATGAATGCGTTGAGTCGTGGGATATTTGTGCTCGTGCACCACGGTCAATGCAGTATGAACAAATACTTTGTTTAAAAAAAAATTACGAAAGGCAGCTGGAAGTTTTGGGCAGCTTAGCTAGCATCTAATTAGACTCAGAGCTCAACTTCAAACACCTGAATTTCTCCAAGAATCAACAAATTATTCTTGTGTAAATAGAATATAACTTATACAGCTTGGAAATCCTTAATGAAAGCAACATTTTCAGAAGAACTGCGCTACAGGATGTCTCACACAATAGAAAATGTTTGAAGTGTCACAGCACTTGACGTTCTCTTCATGATCCACCTACCGTGCCTCCAAAGCACCTGTTTATAAGCGTGTGCCACCACAATACACTCAAAAGCTTTCCCTGTATCTTGCACATAGCACAGGTGATCAGGCCCGCATGTTTCTATCCAGCGAGACGCAACAGCCCACAGATAGCGCCGATTCCTACAGGATATAATTTGGTATAGTTCAAGGATTCCCCCACTGCTCACCATCGCGATGAGCTCAGTCATGGAATAACATCCCAGTGAGCACCGTCAGTCAGACCCTCATTACACTACACCCAACTGTGGGCCAACAGAGAATCAAAACTCAGAGATTGGTGGGTGGGTGACAGCAGTGCCCCATAGGCTTTGGATAAGGGGCATAATATATAATACTCTGTGTTGGATAAGGGCAAAGCCATAAAAAATGATCCACGTGTGATATTCAACGGGTTCGCGTGTCAACGATCCAACCTGCTCATGTTTATTTGATGATGTGCTGGTAAGAAAAGATGGTTAAAAAAAAATTATGCGTTTTCATTTTGGTTAACGTCACAAGTAAATAATGTCACGGTTACATTTGTGACCTTGGTCTGGGCCTGCAGGTAACCGCGATTCATTGAGATACACTGGGACAGGCCCCCATGGTGTCTCATTCTGAAGCTGTTCCCTGCCAAGATGTGTTTCTCGGAGGTCTGCAGGGGGGTTATCCTTAATGGGGGGAAAAAAGTGCTTTGTTCAACATTTGCCATTTATAGCACAATCGGGGGAGTGGGTGGGGGGAATCAATATATTTTTTACATAATGTTCAACCATTATGGAAGCATTTTATACAACATAAAAAAACATCCATGTTCAAACAAGCAATGGGTGGCGCTCAACTCAATTTGTAGCGCCGAGCCATAAGTGTGAATTCTACATTGCTGTGGTATCAGCTTCTGCACAGTAGAGCCACTGTTGAATTCGTACTCATTAATGCAGCCTTACCAAATCGTGCTCATTTTAGACGGCCTAAAAGTATGATGAGCTCCGAGCACAAATAAACGATGTTCAAGATAACCATAGAAACCACGTTATTGACTGTCCTCTTCATTATTAACAGCAAAAATTACAGCCTGCATTCTGACAGTTGGGCTGTTGTGTTTTTGACGTATGCCGTGGTGGTGCCCTAAGGGCTGCTGAAAGATGGCGTTTTGATAGGAGCCAGTAGAAATCACGTGCCACGGATTGCAGCACTCACAATCGGATTCCAATCAACACCACCATGATCTCAGTAATTAGGACGTGTCCTGAAACACATCATAATTGGTGAAGATCACTCTGCCATTGGTGAACAATAAAGAATGCTGCAGTACGAGTCCAGGAATGGAGTGACTATTTTAGTGCCGTAAATCCTCGCTTAACGCGCGCTGACACTACGAGTCTTCGCCTTAACGCGTTTTTTATTTTATGGAACGTTTTCGCTTAAAGTGTACCGTGCCCGCGATGACGCCAGAAGTCTAGCGCATCAGGGACTACTTTTCCGAGCGGCGTGGGGGGGTGGCAGCATTGTTGGGTGATGCTGAGAGCTGGTGCTGCACTGGTGTCAGCGCTGTGATACATGGCGTCCCCTACTCACCCTCATCTCTTTGTTCCGGCATCATTGTGTGCGTAATGTCATCTCACTTTAAACACACCACATTAAAAAAAGACACGTGTAAAATAGTGTACTGGACTGTAAAATAAAAATAAGAAAATTACGGCCTGGAACGGCACCCCCCATTTTCGTCATTATTCCCTTCGAGAAAATGACTCTCGCTTATTGCAAATACGGTTCATGCGGCAGCCCCATTTTGTTAAGCGAGGACTTGCTGTACTGTATTTCAAATGAGGATGCTGTAGCACTGGCTATGACCCCTGACTTAATTTCCAAGGGCCAGCAGCCACACGAAGCCTACCACTTCGAAACGGCTCGAAAAACTATAATCTATTAATGCAAGCGTCTCAGCTAGGATGGCCAATCTATGCCCATCCAAGCTTCGGGCTTTTTACCAACCCTCTCAGGAGACGTTGGTTGAGAAACCTGCCATGGGGTAAATACATATTTTCACGCGGAGAAATCTGGAAGAGGTGAGAAATACTTACGCTGACGCGGCACTGTGGACATGTTTTGCGGGCAGCAGTCTGCAGCCAGTGCGTCAAGCTATTTGAAAAAAAAGAGATACGTGTTAGACAAGATATTATTCATATGTCTTGCACTTTATACAGAAACAGTTGCCACCCGGCAAAATTATGTAGAATAACCATTGTCTTATGTCTTGGTATAGCTATACGCCTGACCTTTTCTGAAAGTGAAAAGTGTAAGGCTATTCCTGTAAGGGGGCGATACTATTATCATTATTACACCATTCTAATGTACATGCGCAGTATGACCTCTCACAATTTTCTCTAAAACCCCTCTAAGAGAACCTAATGTAATCATTAAATTATGCCCAACAGATGATTTTTTGGCTCCAGTCCCAGACAAAGAATGAAAATGTCTCGCGTTCTAAACAGCTGTCTCAAGAATGTGTGATACAGATGAAATTAAACTTTAACGGTGACAAAAAAAGCTATAATCATCGTGATGTGACGAGTCTTCATCACAAAGTCCTATGACATTTGCAATTTTATTTTAAATTCACAGTTTAATTTTATTATAGTTCAACAGTATGTAAAATATATATATTAAGCATTATCCATACACAAGGAAATAGGCGAGGCCATACATGTACACCCTTTCGCCAATTAAAGTGTTCATTAATTGTACATTTTAAATCAAGTCAGTGTCTCCCTGCTCTACTGGGCAGTATTCATAAGCACCGACAGACATTCAACACTTCATAATAAACGTTTTTGAGTTAGATCGCGTTATTTATAAATGTGTCGTAACCCTCCACCACCCGACACGGCCAATCAGCAAAAAATTGTCACGTTGACAAAAGACAAATAGTTCACTACTTTAGCCCACCGGTGTGTTGAAGAGTGAATCCACAACATTTACAGTTTTTGAGTACGACGTTTTGCTGGTAATTGCATCCAGCATCAGAGCAATTCGCCAGAACTTGTATGGCAAAGTGCATTCTGTCCATAGCACCACTGTTGACTTTCCACAAAATAGTATTTAATTTATGGTCCATGGAGAGCTGATGGGCTTGGGTCAAACCCCACGTGGGATTTTAACTTGCAGGCTTCCAATTTTGAGTCGAGCACTCTAAACACCCCACCCCACTGAGCCAGATAAGATGTATCCCTCGGTGTTATGCTCTAAGATAATCATTATTTTTCACTGCAATCAGTGGTTGACCAGGTGGAAACCATCAATTCAATACGCATGAAAAACTTATTTCCATTGGGAGCCCAGGACTCAAAGCCCAAGTCTCAGCAGTGCTGGTTCAGTATCTCTGATATGGACATAAGTTAACCCCAAGAGCCTCCAAAGCCACATTGAGCATTTTTCATTTCCTGTGAAAAGTGAGATAAAACACAACAATGTTACACCTGAGGCCCATTTGCGAAGTATTGCGGAGAACAAGTCAGAATAATATAACGTTATATACTGCACCTTTTATCCACCATCGTTGCTCTTTAAAATTCTTACTCAATTTCTCCCAGTGAGCAAAACTACGGACCCAAAGGTTAATTGTTGTCTGAGAATATCCTTCAATCGGTTTTACACTAACGTTGCACAATAACTAACCTTTGTGCGAGAAGCATAACAGCAAAACTGATCATTTTATTTTATTTCATACACATGCAAAGTATTTAGATCTTGAACCCTGAATAGTGCTGTAATGTAATGTAGGCACATACCACTCTTCATGGAACGTGTGTCCGCAAAGAATGGCTGATATGTTGCTTTTGTTATCAAAAAGGTCAGAACAGATGGTACACTGAGCTCGGATGGGCATTGTGACTACTCTCCCAGCTCCTTTTCCAATGCCTTGCCTGCACACAAACACACAAAGACAGAAAGCCTTAATTTAGTCAATTGTTCTGGCACCAACCTCAGCCATCTTTTGTCTCCCCTTTGTTGATATTCACACACACACACAGTACCAAGCGACCGTTCAAGGTTGCATGGACCTAGGAGATGCCCAGAAACAGAGTTTACATACCGCTGGTTAGTATCACTGTGCATATTGATAAATTATAATTTCACTCGTACATATCAATTCATACATCTCTTTTATTTTACGGGGTGAAAACACTCTTGGAAGAGTTGTTATTTGCAAGGAAGATCTAAAGTACCGTGGGGAAAGTTATTATGTTTATAACTGCATTTACATAATACATTATTTGGACTGATGGCGCTGTGGTTAGTGTCTGCCTCAGTTATAATCGCAGCCATGGGTCAAACTCAACCCAAAATCCCTCTGGTTTAAAGAAAATGAGTATAACATTATAATAAGAGGTGTTTTCCCCTTTTTTCTGGTAACAAAACTGAAACCTTTTTACAAGGATTCATATCTGCATTAACCACAATACTTGTGGTGAAAATGCAAACAACGCTGGCCCTTGGTGTGGAGCAATCAGTTTCAAGAATGCATATATTATCATAGTATGTTTTTTGTTTGCATTTTGACTGCAAGTGTTGTGGTTAATGCAGACATGAATCCTTGTAAAAAAGTTTCAGTTTTGTTGCCATAAAAAAGGGGAAAAACCCTATTATTATATTTTGGTAGTGGCAAAGGAGGTCCAATGATGAGTATAACATTGTTGGTGGTGGATAATGGTAGTTGCTATCGAGAGTGTGGTTCACATGCGCTGAATGTGGAAATTATACTATACGCTTAGAATAGGAGAGAACACAGCATGAAATCAAAGGATATGTCCATATGTACACGATTACCCTCATTGGATGAACACAATAATAATTGTTTCGTGCCTAGAGTTTGCTTGGTATTTGGAAATGATACTAAACCTAACTATAGTGAAACCTCTCAAAGCTGTGGGGTGTCCAGAATACTGCATATAATAACGAGCAATTATTCCAGCTAAATTACATTTACACATCTTATTAACAAGTAATGAGGTAAAAACAAATGACTAAATATGCACAATTAAATGTTTACTGTTTAAGAACACTCAAAAGCACATTAGCTCTACAGTTTAATCCAAGCCACTTACCATCAACGACACAATGAAGCGGAGGTCACGCACCAATTCTTAAACTAAAAAAACAGAGGCTATCCTCATAGGGTTGAAGAGTTTATTTGTAAATTTAAGACAAATGTAAAAATAAGAGAACATGGAGAGGGTAGCCTTCCCGGCTTAGCCAACATTTCAGTGTATGCAAATTAAGGATTAATTTGTCGCCAATGATTGCTTCTTAGTTCCAGCAGATTCAAAAATCCGCATGTTTGTTTATACTGGAGGAATCCGATCAGCCATAAAGCTCTTTTTAAATTCTTTATATTAAGTTCGCTTGCTTGCTTGCTTGCGTGCTTGCGTGCTTGCTTGCTTACGACCGTGCAAATCTTTCGGTCGTTTTTTAACCCACTTCCCGTGATCCAATCGAGCTGACATTTTCCACACAGACTCGTTGTGCCGGACAATTAATGTTCGTGAAAAAAAATTCCCCAAATTTTACACTTTTTAGGCAAAAAAAAATTATTTTACATATATTCAAATAGAACTCATTCTTGGCTTTGGCTGAACGTCACAGTATAAGAGCCCAGAGCGTAACCCCTCCACAGGCCGTGGTGGAGTAGCGCAGTTGGTAGCGCCCTCGCTTCCCATGCCAAAGGTCGCGGGATCGATCCCCGCGTCCTCCACAGGCGAATATATTTTTAAATCCTATATATTAGGTTCGCTGCCTCGCATATAAAGGATTTATAGTGATAAACCTTTGTTTTTACGGGTTACACTTATTAAAGATGTTCAGTAGGGGCAGGTCAGAACATTACAATGCGTCTAACCTGAAATAAACTGACTTACCGACTAGAGGTGTTACTGTGCAGTATAAAATTTAAATTGGACACCTTTCTCAAAAGAAAATTCCCCCAAAAAATACTGTACATTGATATTCATACAGTACTGCAATGCAAAAACATTAAAATTGCATTTGCACCTGGCCTTAATATGCACAAGGACTAGTATATGTAATAGGATATTTCATATTAGTTTCAATGTTCCACTATATCTCAATAAAAGCATATTCACATGCCAGAGATTATGCCAGACATTATGCAAGTGAAAAGTGGACATTTAAAAGTTATGTGTTTTATCTGTTTACACCATTTGTGTTTGAAGATGGTCAATTTATTTTTGTACAGCACACACTGTGACCAGCATTTTAATTGTAAGTTGAAACATTGCCATTTTCTGGAATACATTAAGTTGTGATCAAACTTTAAAAATAGAATCCATAATGTTCTGGCATTCATATGCAAGCACTGTTAGGGCATCATGATATATACATTTTATTCATTTCATTGTATTCAAAGCTTCGACTGGCAGTCATGAGGCCAGTTATTAAAATTCCACATCGCTACAGTGGGGTGCCAGTTGATCCAATGGAAACCCACCACTACCATCTCAACAAAGCGATACAGTAGGTATTTTATCGACCGTGGAAAAATGATGGGCAGTGAACTCCTGACCAAGATTTTCAATCATTACCACGTGAAGCCAAGTCAAAGCACTCTGCAACAGTGCCACCTGCATTAAGTGTTTTACTAATACACTACAATCAATGACCGATACAATTCCTTATAATGTACGGATGCATCCTGAACATAATTACATTGCGGATGGAAAACACTGCATTAAACAACAGAGTCTAAATTAAAAACATTACACTTAAGACCTTTGAACTCTTAGCAGGGCCATACATTATATGAGAAGGCAACAAACAGTCAAACTGGTGACATAATAGTGATCCACTAGGGACAGTGAAAGACAAATGGAGAAATAAAATAGGAGGGAATGTGGTAGATGGATTGCACCTGCTTATAGATCAGTGAAGGAGGCATCAGCAGGGGAATGGCCTTATCGAGCAGTAGATTAATAATAGGACATGACAATCTTCTTGGTTCTTTCGGTAAAGTCACGTAGAAGGGAAGCAATAAAATAATAAAAATAAAACATAATAAAATAAAATAATTCTCACGACGTTTCGGCTACAACGCAAGCAGCCGTCCTCAGGTTGCTTGCGTTGTAGCCGAAACGTCGTGAGAATTATTTTATTTTGTTTTATTTTTATTATTTTATTGCTTCCCTTCTACGTGACTTTACCGAAAGAACCAAGAAAAAGAACACATATATGTCATAAAAAATAAGTGTAATGTTTTGATTTAAATCTTTCGTGACCGCAGGGATTCATATTCTTGGTTCTTTCGGTAAAGTCACGTAGAAGGGAAACAATAAAATAATAAAAATATAAAACAATAAAAATTCCCACGACGTTTCGACTGCAACACGAGCAATCATCATCAGATGTGAAATCCCATTGTTCTTGCTGTGGATTTGAAGTACAGTACAACCAAAAAACTTGTCGAAATAGATAAATCACCAAAATAAAGCCATGCGTATGAAAGGCAACAGGGCTCGTTGCGATTGCAAGGCGAGACGAGTGGGTTACATTAAACCGAATTAACATTTCACAACGGGGCGAGAGAAACCCTGAAGCCTGTTTCGCGTAGGCCGCAGGCTTAACTCACAAGAAGGCTTGCGCGTTCTCCTGTCTCAAAGTCTCCTTACTTTGATTCGCGTTGCAACGTGGAGGACGCATACGTCGGCGGCGTGATGCACGGGAGGTGTCCAGAGTGCCTGGTCTTGCCCCGGTCTCTATCAGTGGCCCGAGTGTTTCGCGCGGACACACAGAGCGAGCGGTGGAGGTTCGCGAAAACCGCGTCGATCAAGTCAAATGCGCGCGCGCTGGGCCGCCACTGGCGGTGTCGTCACGCCGGGCCAAACCAACTCAACCCTGGGGACAGGGACGGGGGGGGTGGGTAACATTTACACTTAGAAATTATCTTTTTAAATACATACACTTATATATAGGGCTATATTAAAACCATTGCACGTTGTGCGTTAATAGTTTATAACTATAGTTATAATACGTAGTTATGTAAAATCATTTTTAGATGTTTATCAAATGCAATAATATTTACACCCCCCCCCCATCCGGGATTGTGTGTTGTGGTGTGGTATGGTCGAGTTCAAACTCCAGATGACCTGATCCTGCTGGGATGACACCTACCATTGAAATGAACGTCTCCTTCATCAATGGAATATTAAAGGCCATGCTAACCAAAAAGGATTGGACCATATGCTGTGGTAGCACTGTGGCGGTGGCTTCTCATGGGCTCGCCATGAGAAGGCGGCTACAGCAAGCGGACTAACATCCATCAGCTTCAATCTGTACGGGGATTGAGTGTTTCTCCCTCGCACGCGTGGGTTTTCTCCGGGTGCTCTGGTTTCCCTTCACACGTATCGACACGCATGCGTTGGCTGAAAACATCGTTACAACTTCAATGCAGGACCTCCTTGAAAAATAATCCTACGGCTTTAGTGTGGCTTTCCTGGATATATAAATCATTACTATTTATTCGTGATACCCAATAACCCATAGAGACCCATAGAGTCTTATATAGATGCAGAGAGACCCATATACATACAAAGATATGCATAGAGACCCATAGATGTAAATTAAAGACAAGCCACATGTGCGATTGTGGCCATGTAACCAAAAGTAAACCACTTGTCTGAGCTCCTTCAAGCGAGAAGGAATTATAAAACTACATGAACTCTTTTTGTTTTCACTTGATACAGCTTTCGTGCTGTGACGGTTCCACCTGAAGACGGAAGCTTGTGTTGCCTCCGAAACGTCCTGATTTTTTTTTTATTTTTTATTTAACTTTTATTAATTTAAATTTTTTATCTACGTGACTTTACCGAAAAAACCTAAGAATATACATGAACTCTGGTCGTCCTGCGGATAGACTCGCCCCTGCCATAGGAACGTGGACTTTCCACCCCTGGCTCAGGGCTGTAAACAGGAGATGACCACATTCTTTAATACTCACTTGAGCCAGATGTCACTTTAATTTTTAATCGGCCTTGTGCCTTCTCGGCCAATGTTTTTGCGGCAACATTTGCTTGTGCATGCAAACTCTGGGCCGGTTTCAATGCTGTGACTCTCATTAAGCAGGGAATGCTATGTGGAACAAATGGTACTGGATTTTCAGTCGCCTTCTTGTTAATAAGACTCAGAATGTCAGCGAGACAAGTCTGGAAGGTTGCCTGCTAAAGCAACACGCTGTTTGTCGATAGTGATTGAGAATGCCCCATAAGCCGATTGCCTTGATTGTGTTATTTTTCAGTAATAATGTTGCTCTATAATCAGGGACTATAAAACGGTCCCGGTCAAAATTCACACCACTAGTTTGGGGCTACCAGTGGAGATGAGCAGCCTCTGACATTCAGCATTTGGGCACAGAGACACCATTCAACTTTTTTTGTCCACTTCATAAAGCCCGCTGAGCTATATTGCTCAGCGAAGTGGCTTATTACGTGGATATTTATAGCAGTAAAAAATACTCTAAACGCGTGTTTATAAACGTGGAGGGAAAAACCGGAGGATCGGGAGAAAAATCCACATGACCACGGGAAGAGAAACACGCAAACTCCAAATATACAGCAGGCGTCAGGGTCGGGATCGAACCCACGACCTCCTGTATACCGGGCGAGGTAGTTAACATCTCGCCAACATCGAACTGCAGTCCTCACCCGCTTCTGTGGTTAAAACTTTTTTGGAAAATCAATATGATGGATAAAACATACTTCCCTTAAATATGTACCCCCAGTGAAGACCAAAACGTACACGTCCTGAATGTTATTATGTAAATAATTCATTACGAATTATTTATAGAAACGGACGATGCGGTGTGTAGATTATTAATTTTATCAACGAAGGGTCTTTATTCTTTAAAAGGAGTAATTTGTATCAAACAATTTAAGTACTTATATGTAAATGCTGTTGAAGTTTTTTCATACTCCTGAGCCAGTACAAATTAGAGACACTGATCCAGTACAAATTCCGCATTCCGAAGTTGGGTAGTAGTATGACTCCAAAACAACCACTGTTGACTTTCCAAAAAATGGTATCTATTTTATCGACCCCATGAGTATGATTGGCTGAATCAATCCCCAACCAGTAATGATTGAACTCACATCCTTCTGACTGTGGGTCCCGGCGCTTAAACCGTGGCGCCATTGTCGCGAATTGCATTTGCTCCAAAACCAATCTTGTAGGGTGATGGTGAAACAGCGGTCATCTGCTGATGCGGTGGGTCCTGTTGATGGGTCATATTTTCCATGTCTATCTGAACACATTTCTTCTCCGTAATAGAGCGTTTTTTTGGGTTAGATCGCGTAAATATGAATGTGTCGTTAAACCCGCCACCGACTGACACAGCCAATTAGTAAAGGTTTCTCACGTAAACAAAACATGACAATTCGTTACTCGTTCAGCACACCGGTGTGTTGGAGAGTAAACCCACAACATTCATGTTTAACGCGATCTAACTAAAATAAACCTCTATTATGGATAATATTGGTCGCAAAAGCCGACGTGTTAAACAGTTAAACTATCATTTCTGCTGTTATCCACAGATGAACCGAGATAATAGGATCATTGTACGACACTTCTGCAACTTCTGTTATCTGCGAATTTAGCATGGATAATTGGATCAACTTTGCACACCTTTTGGGTTACTGACTCCTCTTAATTCATGAATGAACACGTGTAACTAAATCAAACTGGGGCACCCAACAGATCGCTTCCAAATTACTTCCCTGATTAATTCTAGATTTGAAGCTTTCGTGACTGCAAGGATTCATATTCTTAGGTTTTTTCGGTAAAGTCACGTAGGTAAAAATAATTAAAATTTAAATTAATAAAGTAAAATAAAAATAAAATAAAATAAAAAATATAAATCATTCATTTTATTTTTTATTTTATTTTTATTTTACTTTTATTACTTTTTTTACCTACGTGACTTTACCGAATAAACCTAAGAATATACTTCCCTGATTGGCGGATACAAGCAAATGGGATTAATTTTACACCACTTCCAGGAGACCCCTCTTACCAACAAAGAGGTGTGGGTCAGTCACGTGCGGTCAGGGGAGGCAGGGGAGCCTCACCTGTAATACTCCAATGAAAATAGCTGTTACGGAAAGTAAAAAAAAAACATTCAGCTTTTTCCACTGATCTGTCTAATAAATGTCATCTCTGTATGATTCCAATAATTTTTATAGTCAAAATCGCCAAATTTGTGGAGCTCCGCTGCAAATACAGGGAGAGGCGAGAGGTGAGCCTGTGGGTAATATAATTTTCTATGGGCACGGATAATAAGACGAGCTGATAATAGAGGCATGGAAACGAGGAGTGTCACTTTATGGAACTATAGTTTAGTAACGATGGATAACGGGGGGAGGGAGCGGTGACGCGGTGATTAGCGGCACTGCGCTTTGAACCAAGCGATTCGAGTTGAATTACTGTCTGCGGATGAGATCAGCGGCGATTGATATTTGAGCAGGTCCCGGAAGACTTTCTCCTTAATGAAGCCACACAGACCAGCGTGCGTGGTGAATGCTGTTCAAACAACCCCGATGCCTGACGTGACATTCCGAAAGGCTGTGATCCAGCGGTTGATTGACAAGTCGCCTTAAAATATCTATCGATCATTACTACATAATAACTAACGATGACGAGAAACATTATGTTTGCCAGGCTTTGGCTACGTATACGAGACGTGTGCCAAAATGGATAGGCGGCATACATCAAACAGACGCTGATTGATTAACGTGTAGGCATGGCACGCTGCCAAGTGGCAAATCGCCAATGCTCGTACATCGAGCGGGTCGGGGGAAGATCTACAAAAAAAATGAGGACAGCAAATTGTGGCCCCACTGGGACGTGCCCAGTGCGTTGGAGTTGGGCTGCCCACGGGAGATAATTATTATTATTGCGGCATGAATCCCGGGCAGGCCACGTGCCCCTGGGTGTCAGTGGGTTCACTGCACTCTCACAATAACGGTTTAGACTAGCACCCGCCACAGGAATGTGGAATGTGTCCCCACTGGCTGAGAACCACCAACAGAGATCACTACCACCCTGTTGGTTATTTGAGCAATATTGTATACGTATATATATATATTTTAGTTTTTATTAAGTACTAGCTTTACTAGCTGGCTTCGTCCGGGACTTGGATTCACCACACACCAGTTACTCGTGTGAGGCTGAGTCGACCTAGGGGAGGCCCAGAACCGGTTCAGACAATCGTCACCGGTGGTGGTCGTGAGCGGGAATCGAACTCGGGTCGCCGGGTTCGTAGCGCAGCGCGCTACCCACTACACTACAATGCGTTACGCTTCCACGTACGCGGGTCACGTGACAGATTTGACGTCACAGCTCATTTGCCGTGCAAAAAAATCTATGCATTATTGAGCTCCCCCCCACAAGAAAAAATAAACAAAAGTGTATTTTTATAAATTTTGCATGGTGTAAAGTCTGGAAAGTACCCACATGGCAAATTTGCAGTTTGTTGCATGTCGGGAAGTACGCTAAACATTTTGAACAGACACATACTCACAACTTTGCCTTATATATGGAGATTAGTTTTATTATGTATATACATTTCCAATACTCTTTACTTCTTTCGGTAAAGTCTATTTTTTCCGCCTGAGGACGACCGCTTGTGTTGCGATCGAAACATCGTGATTTAATTTATTTTCTACCTACGTGACTTTACCGAAAGAACCAAAGAGTATTGATTCCTGCAGTCACGAAAGCTTCAAATCAAGATGTACATTTGCTGTTCTTTAGTTGTATCGTGAGAGC